CAGACGGGATTACAGGGGAAATGAAATAAAACTAGAACTGTTGAACAGAGTTAAGAGAATAATAAACTGCATTTTTATTTTTATTTTAAGTAGTATATTTACGTAATATATATTTAGATCATTAAAAACTTAAATCTATCCGTTCTTTATGTTTGCTGCCATCTGCTGGTCATGTTTTAGTTTCTTTCTCAGTTACAAGTCAGGCCCAGTGGAGTAAAGGCATAACGACAAACAGTGCAGAAAGTAGGTAACGCCTTTTTTTCCCCAATTTTAAAATAATAACACTTAATATTACTACATGCTCGCTGTTCTTCTTGATGTTCTCCCCAATATTTGAAAAATGTTTTAACATTTTCAAGCTGAGTTTTCCTTATTGTGACAAATTAAGTTCAATTCAATTAAATTAAATCCATTTTTATTTATAAAGCCCAATATCACAAATCACAATTTGCCTCACAGGGCTTTACAGCATACAACATCCCTCTGTCCTTAGGGTGAGGTGAACATGGTTGTAGATAAAATAATGAATTGTTGCTAATGAAATATTCCACTAAAGAGCTGTTAATGTCAAAGCTAACATTAGCCAACTTTAGCTAATAATTTCTTCCTACTTGGTCAACTGTTCCCAGAGGTCTGGTGAAACGCTGTCAGGCTAACACTACCAGCTGACGTTAGCTAACTTTCTACCTACAAGCTCAAATGTTCAGTTTGCTAACACTACCATCTAACATCAGCTAACTTTAATATTTTCTACCTACTAGCTCAAATGTTCCAATAGCAAACATTACAACCTAACATAACATTAGCTAATCATTTCTCAAATGTTGCTTTAGCTAACATTACCATCTAACGTTAGCAAACTTAAGATAAGAATTTCTTCCTACTAGGTCAACTGTTCCCAGAGGTCTGATGAAACGCTGTCAGGCTAAAGCTACCAGCTGACGTTAGCTAACTTTAGCTACTTTATTTCTACCTACTAGCTCAAATGTTCAGTTTGCTAACACTACCATCTAACATCAGCTAACTTTATTTTATATTTTCTATCTACTAGCTCAAATGTTCCAATAGCAAACATTACAACCTAATAAATTTGCCCTGACGAAGGCCGACTCAGGCCGAAACATGTTGGCAATTTTTATCGGTTCTACATGAACTAGCCTGTTTAATAAAGCTTTTTAATTGCCAGAGTGCCTTGGACCGCCTTTTCTTCTTTTTCCTCATTATGCTTCCTCGCAGAGGACCAAAGAGCACCTACAGTTTTTAACATTTTTTACTTTTCTGAACGCCACTGCTCTCCTTCGTCTTTTCTTTGATAACATAACCTAACTTTAGCTAATCATTTCTCAAATGTTGCATTAGCTAACATTACCATCTAACGTTAGCTAACTTTAGCCACTATTTTCTACCTACTAGCTCGAATGTTCCATTAGCTGACCTGACCATCTAATGTCAGCTAAGTTTAGTTAATATTTTCTACCTACTAGCTCACTCACTCAGAGTGCTGATGAAACGCTGTCAGGCTAATGTTAACAACTAATATTAGCTAGTTTAACTAATATTCTCTACCTACTAAGTCAGCTGTTCCTAGAGGTATGGTGAAACGCTGTGGGGCTAACATCACTAGCTGACGTTAGCAAATGTAAGCCACTTTTTGCTACCTACTAGGTCAACTATTCCGTTAACGTTACCATCGAACATAAGCTAATTCTGGCTAATATTTTCTACCTACTAAGTCAACTGTTCCATAGATCTGATTAAACACTGTCTGGCTAACGTTACTTGCTGATGTTTGCTAACTTTGGTTACTTTTTACTACCTACTAGGTCAACCATTCCTATAGCTAACTTTAGCTAATATGTTTTACCTACCAGGTCAACTGTTTCCAGAGGTCTGGTCAAACGTTGTAAGGCTAACGTTACTGTAACATGTTCACACCATCAGTTTATGTCCACTTAAAGGGTTTTTGCCACTGACGGGTTCAGATTGTTATTCTAACTGTCTGACAACATTTAGGAAATGATCCCTACAGAGATAGACCTTTGTTAAAGAGTAATATCCTTTTTGTTTAACCAGGAACAACCCCAAAATCGCCATCGCCAAACCCACCAGACTCCATTTAAATAAACAGTAATTTTATCACTGTAAAACACACTTCATTTATAGTCAGGAGAAACAAAATAAAACTCACAAAAGTGTCTTGGTACATCTTTACGCTTTTCCAACAATCACCAACTCTGGTTTGGTTGAAATAAACTGTTGAATTAACACAGGTAGATGTGAAAACAAGCTGCCTCTATGCACGCTAAAATCACTGATTATTTAAATGGAGTCTGGTGGGTTTGGTGATGGTGATTTTGGGGATGTTTCTGGTTCAACAAAAAGGATCTTACTCTTTATCATAAAGGTCTGTCTCTGTAGGGATCCTTTCCATACTGTGTCAGACACTTAAAATAACAATCTGAACCTGTCAGTGACAAAAACAAACACTTTTAGTCGATGTAAATTGACATTTCACAAATGCCCTGAGAGGTTACACTGCAGCCTGTTTCACCACTGCCAGCTGCAGGATCAGCATCGGATAAATTTCAAAAATTGTTGTTCCCGTTAGTCACTTAGACACAAAAACATGGGAAAATGGGATCCAGGTTGAAAAATACTGAACTCAAGTACAGTACTTGAGTAAATGTACTTAGTTACCTTCCACTACTACTTACCCTTACATAACAGAATGTGAAGGCCACATACAAACTATAACCTGCATCATCTATACAGCCTTTACAATATGATAACATAATTTAATGTGGCACAAAATAATTTGACTACTATTACCATTTCATCTCCTATAAAGAAATTAATGTAACACACTATATAAAGGAGTACTGTAATCTTAGGACATGTTAAAAGATGGCTGCAGAGGCCATATTAAAAGCTGCAGTAAGAGGTGTTATAAATGATCGTCATGATGACAAAATCTAAAATACTTTCACTATCTGATTCAAACCGACGTCATCTCACAGTATGGAGGGAATAAATAGAAGCAGAGTGCTGGATAAAAATGTGTATCTGTCGTCAGCGTGTTGAGGAGCTGCACAGCATCCTCTATTATCTAACAACCTCCTGTTATGTAAAAGCAGGGAAGAAGAACTGCAGAGAGGAGGAGGAGGAGGTCTATATTAGGGTTCGACTGATATCAGGGTCGATACTGATGGTTCATTCATACAGTCTGACAGGACGGAGACAATGATGATGATGATGATGCATCTATATTTACTACAAAACTGCTCAACATTATTATGGTTGTCTGCATGTAAATTCATGTCCAGAGATCTGAATCTTCATATTGTTACCATAAAGAAAGTTTGACGGTAATTTTTAAATTTAAAGAAAGGGGGCTCAGATGCATTTCAGCATTTTTAACAGGGACATTTCTAAAGTTTGGAGGGGGACATTTCAGGATTTTTGACAATTCAGCATTTTTATCATTGATATTTTAACAGTTTGACTGGTACATTTCAGCATTTGTGACTAGAGATGTACTGATACCACTTTTTCCCTTCCCGATACTGATTCCGATCCCTGAACCTTAGGTATCTGCCGATACCGAGTTCCGATCTGACACCAGCGCGTAAAATAAAAATAGATGGGACATGAATTGTTGTATGTCTCAACTCCTAAAACTCTATGTAAAATATTAAGAAATAAATACATAATAGTAGAATGAATGCCATAAAACTTTTTTTTATTGTTATTATCCAGTGTTGACACAGATCAAGACACAGGTTAAAGTGCAGCCACACAATTTGGTAAAAAAGACATTTTAAAGGCTACAGTAGAATGCTTTCTAAACTCTGCTCCGTTTCCGTTTTGTTTGCCTGTAGCGTGTGTATGCGTAATGACGTGAGGCATTACGTGGTATTGGATTGGTCATAGGATGTACTCGCCGATACTTGATACCGCATTTTAGGCAGTATCGGAGGCATTTCCGATACTGGAATCGGTATCGGTACAACTCTACTTGTGACATTTCTGCATAATTATCATCAAAATTTTTGACAGGAATGCTTCTGCATTTTTATCATTGACATTTCAGTGTTTTTAACAGGGTTATATCAGAATTTTTACAGGGACATTTCAGCATTTTTGACATTTCAGCACTCTGGACAGGGACCTGTCTGCAGCTTTGACTTTAAAAAACTTTAGCATTTTAGCATTATTGAAAATGGGCTTTTCAGCATTTCTGACAGGAATATTTTTCCCCAAATTTCTTTAATTTGAATGTCATTGTTACAATCAGAGGATTTGCTTATCATAGTTCATTTCAAGTTGTGTTGTAGAAAACAAATTCCCTTTGTTAATTAATTAATTTCTTTATTCATCCATCCGAACATCCAGTTATTCATTTGTTTCATTCAGTCAATAAAAACTCTGAATCATCATAACCACCTTTATTCAAATGTTTATTAGTCATTCACTTATTCATTTTTATTCATTTAATAATTTTTCTGTCATCCATCTCTCCATTTATTTATTATTTCATTCATTCATGGTTGTTCATTAGTTCATTCACTCATTCATTTATTTGTATGAAGAAAAAAGAAAATAATAATGAACACACTATTTCCTAAAAAAAAACACAGCTAAATAATCTCATCAGTCAGAAACTGCTGCCACAAACGCCTTCATCTGTATCCACCAGTATCTGTCTGATACTCGCCGTTAAAAACCAGTATCAGTCGAAGCCGCCCGTGTGATGCTGCTGTGACACAGTGTGTGTGTGTGTGTGTGTGTGTGTGTGGGACCACAGATCCCAGTTTACCTCTCTCTCCTTCCAGATCCATCTCTCCACCTTCCTCTCCTCTCTGCAGCATCCCTCCTCCTGTTCAGCCAATCGCCTGCTGGGGAGTGTGATCATGTGACCAACAGCTACCAATGTCTCTCGACCAGGCACCGGCAAAAAGAGGGGCGGTGTCTCTCCTCCTCCTCCTCCTCCTCCTCCTCTCTGTGAGTCAGACGGTGTGTCTGGAGGAGAGTGGATGGATGTGAAGGATCCGTCTAACAAGCTCAGACACGTTTCTTCTTCTTCTTCACCCGGACAGCAGAGGCTCCGTCTCTAACCCGCCCTCCCTCCCACTCCTGGGGAACACAGGGGGGATGAATGGGGAGGCCATGGAGGGGAGCCTGGTGCAGGAGCAGCAGCATGCCGGTAACGGCTCCCACCTCCCTCCTCCTCCCACCATCACGCCGGCCATCCCCCCCTACGTGAAGCTGGGTCTGACCATCGCCTACACCATCTTCTACTCGCTGCTCTTCGCCTTCGTCTACGCCCAGCTGTGGCTGGTGCTTCGGTACCGACACAAGCGCTTCAGCTACCAGACGGCCTTCCTGTTCCTGTGTCTGCTGTGGGCCGCCCTGCGCGCCCTCCTCTTCTCCTTCTACTTCAGAGACTGTGTGACCGCCAACGCACTCGGACCATTCGCCTTCTGGCTGCTCTACTGTTTCCCCGTCTGCCTGCAGTTCTTCACGCTCAGCCTCATGAACCTCTACTGTGCACAGGTGAGGGGGCACTGCTGCTGGTACTGGTCGAACAGAGACCGGTAGCATGAAGAGAACCTATCAGCAGCTTCAGTGCTTCAACTTCTCTCTTTGCTGCAGTGACGTAGAAGTGTACTTCAGGGTGTGTCAGTACACTGTGACATCACGGGTGGGTGTGGTTACAGGTGCGACAAAGCACACCTCTGACCACACCCACCAAAGATGCAGCAGTCCAGCCAGAGAGGGCAGTGAAACCCTGCTCTTTAAGGCTGCTTTCACACCTGCCCTGTTTGGTTCGGTTCAATCAAACTCAAGTTCATTTCACCCCTCAGTGTGGTTCGTTTGGGCAGGTGTGAACACAGCAATCACACTCAGGTGTGAACACAGCAAAACAACCAGACTGAGGCCTTCTTGAAGAGGTGGTCTCAGTCCGGTTCCAAAGGAACTCTGGTGCGGTTGGTTTGTGGTGAGAAGGTGTTCCGACCTGGATGTGAAGCAACTGCAGTCACATGACACATTGTTTGGGTTAAACATGAGCATGTTACAGTCCTGGAGGATTATTAATGTGCACCTCCTCCTGTACTGCCTTAATATGCACATTCAGCACATCCAATGCATCAAAACATTGTTTTCTAGTTGGAGCCGCGCCTCGTTTTCAAACTGTATGGTTTGACTAAAATGAACAATGACAGCAATATAGTCCACGATGAGCAGCGCTAAAATCAACCTGCGTAGTTGTCCCTCCATTGTGACATTAGAAAGTGTCACATTTATCTTGCAAGTGTACTCTTCTTCAACGTTTGCTTTACTTCCTGGATTTTTCCCACATGGAAATTCTGACCAATCAAGGGCAGCTTTCTCACACAAGGCATTTGATCTGGTCCTCTTGTAAATGCTGCCTTGAGAACACCAACCAACTCTAGGCAATTACACAACTTTGGAACAACATGAGTCCCTGATTCAGACCAAAGGAGACCACTCTAGGGCTGACAGCAGCCTTAGTGACTCCTCAACCTCTTAAACGCTGCTGAATCAATCACTGTGTCCATCAATATGAGCTTGAGTCTTGCAGCAGAGTGTTGTTCCACCCCCCCAAAACGTAATCATAATTCTAATCCTGATATTAAAGTCTCCAAAGATGACGAATAAGTCAGGGTGAAATTTAGGGGAATGCTTCTCCAATGATGAGAAACAGTCATGCAGGCCTGGTTTCAGACCTCTGATTTGTTCAGCGATGCAAAAACGGTCATGTGCTCATTGATGATTATTTCCAGCAGCTGGAGAAAAAAGTCAATTATGCTGGTAGGTGGGATTAAGAGCAGTGACATCATCCTGCGGAAGGAGCTACGTAGTTACACCCATGAAAAATAGCTACAGAAAAAAGACCACAGAGAAGTGAGAGGCCTGGAGGAGATGAAGTGCCATGAAGCAGTCTCAGGTTTGAATGTAAAAGATACAGAATGTGTATTATTTTTACCTTAATGTTTTTTAAAGGTAAATTTAAAGGAAAATTCAGGGTTCAGGCAATTAATAAGAAGCCACTTAAAGGCCTTGATGAAACGTCGCTTTGGTGTGTCATAGCAGCTAATTATGAAACTGCGCTACGAGAACACACCATCATTACACTAAACCTCACTGTCAGCGATGTTGACCAGTCCGTTCTTATCCCCAGCTCATCAAATACCCACGCTTTGTCACGCCAAATTGACACCAAAGGCTCCTTTTAGTGTCTTCATGAGACCCACCAGACTTTAAAGTAAAGTTACATAAATTTGGTTTCGGAAAGTAAAGTTATTTAGATTAGGTTTAGGAAAGTAAAGTTACGTAGATTAGGTTTAGGAAAGTAAAGTTACGTAGATTAGGTTTAGGAAAGTAAAGCCACGTAAATTTGTTTTTGTAAAGTTACGTAGATCAGATTTAGGAAAGTAAACTTGCATAGGTTAGGTTTAAGAAAGTAAAGTTATGTAGGTTTGGTTTAAGAAAGTAAAGTTACATAGATTAGGTTTAGGACAATAAAGTTACGTAGATGAGGTTTTGGAAAAGAATCATGGATGGGTGTCATGTTACATACTTAGCATAAAGTTACGTAGGTAAGGTTTAGGAAACTAAAGTTGCGTACATTAGGTATAGGAAAAGAATCATGGTTAGGTGTCATCATGTTACGTATTTACCTTCAAGTTACAAAGGTAAGGTTCAGGAAAGTAACGTAACGTAGATTAGCATTAGGCAAGTAAAGGTATGTAACTTAGGTTTAGAAAAAGAATCATAGTTCAGTGCCGTGTTACATACTTAACATGAAGTTACGTAGACTGGTTTTAAGATATTAAAAAGGTTGTACGTTAGGTTTAGGAAAAGAATCATGGTTGGCTGTCATGTAACCTACGTAACATAAAGTTATGTTGGTAAAACTTCGACCCACATGAAGTATGTCAACAGACTCAGATTAACCTCAGTTAGCAGAAGATTTTGAAATTTTTCCTCCACACATTGAGAGATAAAACACTTCGACTTGTGGACGGGGAGAATCAATCAAATCAATGCCTACAAGTGATGACCGACCCCCTCGTCCACTGAGCTGCAGCCCCTCCTGCAGTCACTCAGTTTGAGTTTCTTTGTTTTCAGTTACATGGCAATAAACGAGAGAAGATGCAACGTCGACCATCCTGTTGTTAGACGACTCGTATAACGTGAGACTGACTGTGTCTTTTTTGGGGGTGATCAGTGCAGCAGCTGCCTCTCCTCTTCATCCATTCATCCAGTCAGCAGCAGCTGGTGGATTCAGAAATAGACCAGAAAATAGAGACAGAAGAGGAATAAAGCCTCTTTAGCAGCAGCTTTACACCACTTGTTCCCGAGAGCTGAGATGACGCAGGGGTTTTCTTTTCCAACCAAACATCACGGTGTCTTATTTCCTTAATGAGGGCACCTTCAGTCAGAGAGGAGGGATTAATCGATGAGATGAGCTGCAGACTGTTGGCTGCGAGGCAAAGTGATCAGACCCTTTACTGCAGCAAAAGTACTAATGAAACACTGTGGAAAATACTCTGTTACAAGTAAAAGTCAAAAATGCAATTTTAAGTATCTAAATGTCCACTGTGACTGCGTTAGTAATTTTTTTTTTTTTTTTGTAATGCGTAGCTCATACACTGATGAATATAAAAACACCTCATTGAAATCAGTTGAGAAATATATTTTTTTATTTTTTCAAATGTTTTAAATTTGAAAAAATACAAAGTCGCCTCACAGCAAGAGGGTTCCTGGTTCAAACCAGGGATGGGGGAGCCCTTCAGTGTGGAGTTTGTATGTTCTCCCTGTGTCAGCGTGGGTTTCCTCCAGGTGCTCCGGCTTCCTCCCACAGTCCAAAGACATGCAGGTTAATTGGTGACTCTAAATTGTCCGTAGGTGTGAATGTGAGTGTGAATGGTTGTCTGTCTCTATGTGTCAGCCCTGTGATAGTCTGGTGACCTTCAATTACAGCAAATTGTGCGCAAAGAATTGTGGGTACTTCATGCCTGAAAATTCACTGAAGGAAAGACTCGGTCTTTGGTAAAATTCAAAGGATCCTTGACATTGGAACAGTCCTGTGGCGGGATTAGATGACGTAGCCTCTTTGACATCCAGCCATTTAAAGATCCTTCTTTGACTTTGAGAAGCACAAAGTGTCACATTTAGTTGGTCGAACAGTTTGGTCTAAACTTAAATATCTCAAAAAATATTGGATGGATTGTTCTGAACTTTTCTAGAGGTATTCATGGGTTCCCAGAGGATGAATCCCTCTGACTTTGGTAATCCTCTGACTCTTCCTCTAATGCCACCATGAGGTCCACATTTTTGTTTTTCAGTGAAATGTCTCATCAACTATTTGATGGATTTGCACAAAATGTGGTTCATCATTCATGTTCCCCTCAGGATGAATCGTAAGAACTCTGACTTTTCATCTGGTGCCAACATCAGGTCAATATTTTAATGTGTCCAATACTTTGGTTTATGACCAAGTAGAGTGGTGTTGGAATGACTCCTCAGATAGTCTGGTGTAAAACCACACCATCTCCCTTCAACCCTCTGACAGATTCAGATTCACCAGCTGCCCGGTGTGAGTGGAGACAAACGCCAAATTGCTTTCCCACATCCACAGGTCTTCTTAAACTAAACCTCAATTTGAAATAGTGTTTACTTTTCCCACATCGCGTCTCTGATAATTAAATTAAACAAAAATGACGTGCAGTTTGGGGCTGCAGAAATAACTCATTCACATTTTTAAGTAACTTAATTTAAAGCTTAAATCTGCTAATACTGACTGATCTTGTCATGTTTAACTTCCTTGTTTCAGAGTATTGTGAACATAACAGAGCACAATACGAAATAAAGCTGTAATTTCTGATAACGACAAGCAACATTTATGTGCAAAATCTTATTTACAGACGCACTACAAGCAGTCAGAAGTAGGTACAGATTTTGTTCGTACTGATGAAAAAGATCGGAGCTACTAACGTATTGGTGAATGCAGAGATACACATAAATTCCTTCTGCTCACGTTTCATGAATGAGACCCATTATTTTCCATCTCTCAGTATTTAATCTCCTCCTTATCATCATCTCACCCGCAGCTATCTCAACTAACATTGTGTGTCCACCCAGTCTGAAGCATGCCTGAGGTGCGCACAGCCTCTTCCTTTGTAGATACCTGTTTATGTGTGTAAAAAGGTGTACCCATGGTTTTTGTGTGTACACAGAGTTTATGCATCTGGATCCAGATCTACCTGCATCACTGAACAAACTGGAGATGAGATTCAGAAGTAGAAAAAGATCCTGCTGTAAGTGTGTAATGAGTCTGTTATTTCTCCCCTCACAGGTTTACTTTAAGGCGAAGTCCAAGTACACACCTGCACTGCTCAAGTACAGGTAACTTCTTCAACCAGCTCATTCTGACTGAATAACTCAAGTTCACGATGACACTCCAAAACTTATTCATGAATCAGACTGAACATGGAAGTTAAACTGTATTTCCTCGGACTGTTTAAAATGCAGTTAAAGGTTATAGCTGGTACTTCATGCGGAGCAGCTCTCACCCTGTCTCTTCTCCTCCTCCAGACTTCCTCTGTACCTGGTCTTCTTGGGCGTCAGTCTTCTCTTCCTGGTGGTTAATCTGGTCTGTGCCCTGCTGGTCAAAATGACCGCCGCTGATGTGAAGACCATCGTCCTGGTGAGGGTCACAATCAATGACAGCCTCTTCGTCCTCTGCGCCATCTCGCTGTCCGTCTGCCTCTACAAGGTCGCCAAGATGTCGCTGGCCAACATCTACCTGGAGTCAAAGGTAAAGCGACTTACTTTGTGTCTGAGCTTTCAACCTTATCTCATGGTCTTCATCAGCTTCACTGACATGGGCCACATAAGTGAAGGTCCCTGATATTTCTCTCCAGGATATTCCAGGCGACGGCATGGTGGTGCAGTGGTTAGCATTGTTGCCTCACAGCAGGAGGATTCTTGGTCTGAATCCTGGGGTGGGGGAACCCTTCTGTGCAGAGTTTGCATGTTCTCCCTGTGTCAGTGTGGGTTTCCTCCAGGTGCTCCGGTTTCCTCCCACAGTCCAAAGACATGCAGGTTAATTGGTGACTCTAAATTGGTCGTAGGTGTGAATGTGTCAGCCTTGTAATAGTCTGGCGACCTGTCCAGGATGTACCCCTCCTTTCGGCCAGTGTCAGCTGGGACAGGCCCTTGGCCCCCCCCCCCGACCCATAACAGGATAAGCGGTTATGGAAATGAATGAAATGAAATATTCCAGGGTTTCTGTGACTGTGAGGAGCTTTTTATTAATATCATGACATCACAGAGGCCTGAAATGAAAAAAAACAGTATTAACAGGAATAACAGAGTAACACCTGTGTGTGCAGGGGACGTCGGTGTGTCAGGTGACTCTGATCGGCATCATGGTGGTGTTGCTGTACGCATCGCGGGCCTGTTACAACCTAGTAGTGCTCGCCCTCACCGACATTGAGACCATCAACTCCTTCGACTACGACTGGTACAACGTCTCAGACCAGGTGAGGTGACTTTAAATTGTCCACAGGTGTTCACTGGTTCTTTTACATGATTTCAGTCTGAAGAGAGCACAAGAGTTTAAAGAGTGTCTTTTTTACTCCTAACCTTTGAAGAAGTATTAAGAACTTTTACTAAAGTAAAAGTACTAATGTCACACAGTGAAAGTACTCCACTACAAGTAAAAGTTCTGCACTTAAAACCTTACTGAAGTAGAAGTATGTATAGTGCAGTAAAAAGCATTTACCTCCAAGACGTAGTGAAGGAGGGGAAGGAGAAAGGAGCAGAAAATGGAAGTAAGTAAGTAAGTACCTTGAATCTGTCTTTGTGTTTCTCCAGGCGGACTTGCGGTCGTCACTGGGAGACGCTGGTTACATCGTGTTCGGGGTGATTCTGTTCGTCTGGGAGCTGCTGCCCACCTCACTGGTCGTCTTCTTCTTCAGGGTCCGCCGGCCACCTCAGGAAAGGGTCAGTCCTCCTGGTGGGGTCAGGTGACCTCTGAAATATTTGCAACTGGTTGTTTTTTGGCGTGAGATGGATCAGCAGTTTGGTGCAGCTTCTGAGCTGCGATCCTTGACGTTGGAACAGTCCTTTGGCAGGATTTGATGACGTAGCATTCTTGAAATTTGGCTGTTTGAGGATCCTTCCTTGAATTTGAGAAACACCCACTGAACCCCAAATTGCTCCCAATGGCTGTTCATCGGTGTGTGTGTGTGTGTGTGTGTTAAAAACTGAGTGGCAGGTGGCACCTTGTACGGTACCCTCAGCCACCGCTGTATTATTATTGTATGTGTGAATGTGACTAATAGTGTAAAAAATGCTTTGAGTGGTTGGAGGACTTGAAAGGTGCTATACAAGTACAGGTCCATTTACCATTTAGCCCACGAGTTATGGTAAAATAGTCAATTAGTTTCAGACTGTGTCATTCAACCCCTTGTCAATAGGGGGTGCTGTTCCCTTGAGAATAACAACAGCAACACTATATCAAAACATCAGTTTAAAAACTCTCAAACAACTCGTGCAGTAAAATCCAAGTCTCATTTATCCAGTCGTACGTTCAGTGCTTCCAAACATGTAAATTTCCACCAAAAAAAAAAAATAGATTTAACCTGAAAGTGAAACTTGCCTCTACTCTTCAAGCCAGACTCAAACACTGAGGTTGATTCTTGGATTTTTACCAGCTGAACCTCTGCCTGCATTCTTTGTCTCCACAGAGCACTGTTGGGATACCAAACCACGTTCTCTCCTCCAGAGGATATTTCTTTGACAACCCTCGTCGGTACGACAGTGACGATGACCTGGCGTGGAGCATTCCTCCCCAGAATGCATCAGCGAGGTACAAACGCTGACGTCACCACGTCGCCGTTGAAGTGTTGTTTCTGAACTCAGTTCTGTTAAAGCTGCTATGAACAATATTTCTTGTCTACTTTATTACCGTAAAACTTAAATTAAACACCCAATCTCTTTCACTAGCCGGGTGTGGCTACACATTTTGACAAATAAAGGTCTATCTCAATCAGACCCTTTCTGTGTTTGTAAACAGTGATGATGTATTTTGTGGGCGGAGCTGAACTGGTGGCAGTGGTGAACTATGGACAGTAGTGGTGTCAGTGTGAGCGCCAAATAAAACGTAAAAAGCACCATAATGTTTATTTTTCTCAACCGATTGCAATGAGTCATTTTTATATCCACGAGTTTATGATCTACTTGTAGTAGAAAAAAAGTTTGTCTCCAGTTAATAATAATCTGGACATTTAGGCTGTAATCAGGGCTCCGTTTCACAAAGCAGGTTCAACAAACACTGAGTCTAATCCTGAACTCTGAGTTGATCTACTCTGAGATAGGAAACTCTTCGGTCAGTTTTCGGTTCCCGAACAGCTGATGTGAATCAGTTTAATCAACTCGGAGTAGTTTCACCTGGAGTTAAGCGCGTGCACCACGACTATAAAAAGCCAGCATCAATGGAGCCCCGATTCGACGAGTCACCATGGCAACTTGGACGAGGAGGGCTGCGTTTTTCACCCCACTAGAATTAGAAATCTTAATGCGCTCATACGGCGAGTTTGCACACGTTTTCAAAAAGAAGTGCAACACCGCTGCAGCTGCAAAAGAGAGGGAGACGGCGTGGGAGAATGCATAAGTTTAAATGCAGTCCTTTGCAATCACAATAATATTACAGGGGAAAACTGCTTGAATGGTAGCCTATTAATTTATTTCATTTAGGTGCAATCCTGCAGGGGAGAAGCGCACTTGGCAGCAGTTTAGGATGAAATATAAAAACATTGTTCAAACAGGTAAGGCTCAGCATAATCTCATGGGGGTACCTCATTTTGATCATGTTTTACATTGAAAAGTAAATATTAAGTGGCTGTTTGACTGTGCAGTTGTTGTATCCCCAACATAATGCTGTTTTCACACACATGAATGTCTTCTCATCTATATCATGTTCTGTTAAATAATTAAGCCTATTTAAACTAACACAGACTTCTACTGAGCCAACAGAAAGAAGGCAGATGCCTGTAAAACGAGCACACTTTTCTGACCGCTCTGCACACAGTTGCCTTACTCAAGTGCTCAGCATCTCCAACATTGTCCAAAAACTTCCATTTGCAAAGAAACGCAGCGCAACACACAATATCTGCTGGGATGTGAGAGCATGACTACGATTGGTAATGTTGCAGATGTAAGGACGGATTAGGTTGTGTATGTAGATGATGGACTGTGACGTGAAACGGTACCGCTCAAAAAGATAATTGTGTGGAAATGCTAGAACATCTATGCGTGGTCTGATAACCATCTCCCGACGAATATTTAATTCTCTGCGCAGTAATGCTGCACCTTCATCCACAGGATCGTTATCAAAAGGACATGCCATGTTAGTGAAAAAAGTCGCCACCTACTGTGCCTAATGGACTTCTAATATACTGACTCTGATTTTTTAAATGATTTTTTTTTAATGACAGACGGCAGAACTAGGCTACGCCAAAACTCGCCTGCTGACTGAATGAATGAGGAAATCAAATGGAGTGTGTGGCTCTGAAAGAGGGCGGAGACAGAGCGAAACTCAAGGTTCATTGAGAAAAACCTGGTCCCGACCAGGTTAGGTTCATAGAGTCTGTTACTACGGTAACTGACCGAGAGCTTAAGTTACCTCTCTCTCTGAAACAGGCTGGAGTTACCCCTCTTTCTCTGGTTTGAGTTACCTCCCTTTTTGAAACGGAAAACTCAGAGTTTCCCTCATTTCAGGGTTAACAGACTCTGAGTTTTCACTAAACCTGCTTTGTGAAACGGACCCCAGGAAGCTCAGCGCTCAGTAGAGGAATATGTGTTCAGCTAATTTAAATTACTCAATTATTTATGTGGTGAAAAATAGATCATCATAAGAACAGCAAAAACTCACGTTTGTCAAACACGGATTTGTCTTATTGTCCTTGATTAATAGTTGTGGAGACGTCCACATATAATTTAATGTGGAAGTACAACTATTGCTAGCTCGCTAGCTAGCTAACGCTGTCTGCTTATTAACACATCAATCAACAAAGTCTATTAACTTTCACCACTGCTCACTTACAAGTAAACACTTAGATAATAATAATATAAAAAATAATAATAATAAATGATAAATATAGTGAAAATAATAAATGTAGAAATGTAAATAATAGATAATAAAATAATAAATAATAATAATACTACAACTACTACTACTACTAATAATAATGGTGATAATATCAAAGTGACTGACTGACCGTTTGTTGTCTCTCCGACAGTCTTTCCTCCGACTGCTACGACTGGGGCAGCCGCCACAGCAGCTTCACTGTGCACACCAACAGCGACGAGCAGCGCCTGACGGCCACCGCCACCACCGGAGAGCTCCACCCTTACCCATAATCCCTCCCCTCACTGTATAGCATCACTCTGCACTTTGACACCGATCAGTTATTGTGTTTCTTATCATCACTGACGTAGACGTTTGTAGAGTCACTGTAGAGAATTTAAAGAAAATATCAGAATGTTCAGCAGGGTTCCTACACGGCCGCGTCGTACTCAAGTTGTTTACGAGGTCTTAATAGTTTTGTACAGATAATAAGTTTGTTTGGGCAAAACCACGTCTGAGTAGATTTCTGTTGATAGTCCATCAAAATGTTAATATTCTGCAGCTCTATTTAGTTGGACGTATTTCCCAACGTGATGTTACGATGGTCAGCAGTCAGGAAAAAGTAATCTGAAGATCTGCTGTTTGACATCGGTGCTGTTGGTAGTATGCGTCGAATGACAGAACGGAGCACTGCGACGCTGCACGTTCAAAATCACAGCGGAAAATAAAAAACTTTAAAACAACCAAAGTTACCGACGTTATCAAAAACATTTGAAACAGAATTATTGGGTGTTCTTGCTGTATGATCACCAGTGATCCAGACTAACTCTGTGTATGAACCCTGCTTCAGAGAGAATCCATGTATTTTAGACCCACAGTATGTAGATGATGTCGTGATGAATGTTTTAGACAATGTTTCTTGATCATTTGGGGAGTTTTTCAACGAGGATTACTCGATTAATCTGCCATAGTTCAAATAATCATTACCACACAGACTCCAGGTGATTTTTAAGATTTCTCGCAGTTGTTTGATCATTAATTGGAGACGTTTTGTGAACGAGCAGCCACACAAATATCAGACTGAAGAGATAATCAGACCAGTTAATAAAGGTTCATTAAGTCTAGTTTTAAAATTAAACTCTAGGTTGTGAACGTTCAGTATTTTTCCTGTTCTTGTTTCTAAGTGACTTATGGGAATAGTTTGAGTGAGTTTCTGGAGTGGTTCCATGACAGCCTGTTTCGTCTCGTTCAATTCGAATGTTAAAACAGGTTCCAGGTTGAAAAATAGTGAAATTAACTTTTAATTTTCTGCCCTCAAAAATCCTTGAAAAACTCCTCAAGTCATTTTTTTGAGGTTCGTGACTGTAAAGAGACGAAACTGTCAAACTGAATAACGCACTGTGTTGATTCAACATAATCGATATCCTGTAAATATCAGTAACCAGACAGCTGAACACCTCTGTGTTGTTTTGATGTTCACCTCAAAGTATCCACATATTAACAAGTAATTTAATGTTGGGTTTTAATTTGACTTAACGAATCCATCAGACTGTCCAAATAGAAACAATGAAGGAAAACATGATTTGAACCCATCGTTACATTTTTGTTAGTATGAGCTTTGTTTGCAGTGTTTACATTTCTGAAACGATGTTCAGAAAAAAAAGTCTATATTTCTAACAGACGCGGGTTTTGTAAGTTCTTTGTACAGAGTCTCACTGAGATCGCAGTGTTTCGTTGTTGAGCTTTTTGTTGTGTTTGTGACGTGTCCACACAAAATGTAACACTTCAATAAAACTGTCATTATAACAAACCAACATGTTCTCATAGAACGCTTCCAATGATATCCCACGAAAAATACACGCACAACAGGTCGTATGATATCCTACGAAATTTGCACCCCATGAATGACGTTATGTCCTTTACGTACAGTTACCTAAATAATGAAAAGTTACTGTGGGTGAGTTTAGGAAAATGAAACGTGTCTTAAAATGACTCCAAATGTCATGGTTTGGCTTTATGTTCATGCAGAAGGCGAACACCGGGCTTCCAGGTGAAAGTCCAGGGTTTTTTGGACCCATCCACCCCCCTCCTGCCGGCCCTACAGGCACTTTGAAGCTCCTTATACTATGTTGTCACTCATCATACCGTGGCAACAGGTGCCATCAGCTGATTGGTGGCGTATCGTAATACAATAGGTTCCTACAGCCACCGTCATACTGACGCAACCCAACAGCGTATCATACCTCCCAAAAAAATTGGCCTTTGGCGTCGTTGTTTGACACTGACATCACTGAAAAAGCAGCGGGATTTGACGACTTCAGAGTGAGAACAGGCTGGATATTCAGTTAAATTAAGGTTGTGACGTCAGGTGACCAAATTTCAATGTAGAGTACTGACGACAAATGATGTAAATATTTTATTGGTTTTAAGTTGTGCTGTTAAGTAACCAAAATCCAGCGTCTTCCAAGCGTCTCATGCCGACATCCTGAGGAAGAGTAACGATATTTAGTCGTAAGGTACAAAGAACTACGTTAACATCCACTATCAACGTATTCTCATAGAACAGTCCGTATGGTATCCTTCAAATTTTGCGCCCCATGAATAATGTTACATCCTGAACATATAGTTATGTAATTAATGTAAAGTTAGGGAGGTTAGGTTTAGGAAAGGAAACGCGTTAGGACGTACCTTGAAAAGACTCAAAGTTTGCACAGATCCGAACACGTGACTCCAGGAGAAAGTCTGTTTTCTCGTGACCTGTCCACCACTCCAACCTGCCTCCTTACAGGTGCTGCTGTGAACGCTGACCTTTGACCTGCACCGCGGTGTCTCGCAGGAGTATAAACAAGGCTTGCAGGGGAAAAATATCTGAAATTAAAACGTGTAAACACTTTAACTCTTATCTATTTAAATTTTAAAAAAAAACAGGCAGCAGAGTTCAGTGATGTCCAGAAATATTTATTCCTCTGTTCAAATAAATATACTCAACAGGTACACACATCAACATGGTGCAACTATATTTATATATATATATATATTCATAAAGATCTTTAAGCAAAAGAAAGAAAACTTCAGCCTGTGCTGCCTTTTTAAAAACTGTACAGGTTTGGATCTGAACATGACGAGAGCGTGGGGATCTGAAGCAGCTTCGCTTTTTCCTTTTTGTGTGTGTGTCTTTTTCCAAAATCACAATTTCGTTTTAAGGCTGACGAGCGGACTGTACGGGTGCTGGAGGGCATGCAAGGCTCAGAGAAAGGCATGCGCACGCACGCACGCACGCACACATGCACACACACACGCACACACACACACACACACACACTTTGTGCATCGTATCATTTCTGTTTCACATCCACACACAGAAACAAAGAAAAATAAGTGAAATTAATTCTGATGATGTATGGAAGCTAAAAGGAGCGGTAATCATTTACATTTTCTAACAAACTGAATGTCTACTTTATTTTGAGAAACCATCTATCTGACTCGTTGTGTTTTAAATTGACCTGTTTTTTTAGGTAATCCCAAAATGCTTACTTATTTTCACAAAATCTTGGATTATATGACAGAATAAAAACCACTTCCATCCAGGCGTTTAATTTCAATAAAATTTTTACCCCCAGATCCATAAACAAAGAAAGAACAAACAAAAAAAGGCTGCGGGACCGGGCCGAGCAGAAGCTGGAATTTTACATTTTACTAACTTTTTATATTGTAATTTATTTATTTATTGTTAAATTTTAATTTTTTTGTTTTATCCCATTTCAGGTTTTAAACACAAACATCCGCCTCATTTATACCGTGACCTCAAAAACGCTTCAACATATCGTCGTAACATTGATAAAGTAAAAGTTCCTGGGCGTCACAAACAAACAAAAACACATTTAAAAAAATGTAGGCAACTTAAAATTCTTTGGTCCACTTTGTTCTTTTACAGCTGAGCAAAACAAACTATATTTAAACTGGACTCTTTTTTTAAATCTCCTCACAGACCAGACGTCATCGTCGTCTATACAACTTTAAAGCTGCGTTCACCACAGCTGAGGAAAACATCCCAACATACAGCTCCTCTGAACGTCACTACATTCAGACTGTTTCTGAATATAAATAATATTTTTATTAAGGACTGAACTAAATGCAGAAAACCTCAGCTTGCTACTTGAAATACAAAGTCACATTTTAAGAAATTTAAACTTTGTGTGTTTTAGTGAGCCAATAAAAGGGTAATGAGTTTTTTGTTTAACAATGGATGTCATTTAAGTCAATATTAAATAAATAAATAAATAAATACCTACAAAATAATAAATATGGCTATGAAATACATCCTGAAATAAATGATGTACTAAATAAAAAATATATAAATTAGTGTAAATGTAAATGCATAAATAAATTTTTACTGATTTTTTTTTTAAACAAAAATATTTTTATCCATTGAATCTTAGTGACTCATCTACATATTTATATTTACAGTAATTCACATATTTATTGCCTCTTTTACTGTAAATTAAACACCATGTCCACACTGACAAAAGAGAAATGGAATTTTTTTATTTTTATTTGGTACTTTCTTCTTCCTCGGGGCATTTATAACAAAAATGAGTGTTTTTTGTTTTGTTTTGTTTTAACTATAAGACGTTGAACAAACAAGCCTTCCTTTAAAAATCCCACCACAGCGGACCCTCATGTCCAGAGTGACAGAGTGAAAGGAATTCAAGGCCCGTCCCAAATATACGCCGGGTGAGTTCAGTGATTGAAGCGAGGCGGCTATTAAAGTATTTAGGTTTTTATTTCAGGGTTTATTTCATAGCCATATTTATTTATTTAATATTGACTTAAATGGGATTCCATACATTCAACAGTGGCGGCTGCAGCTTTTCCCGTCTGTCCCGAACACGGCGCACAGTCACTAAAAGACATCCTTTGCTTGTTTGACGTTGCATGTTGATTTTATTCAATCGGCTGCTTCTTCATGTCGTTTTCTCTTCGTGATGTCGTCCTGTGTCGCTTTAAGAGTTCACTCTCTAAAAGTTAAACGCCTCGTTAAAGTTCAAGTCTGGTGATATTCTTTGATTTTCCATAAATCCCACGTTCAGACTCAAACCAACAGTGAACGTATCTGGTCACAGCTGCAGTGAGTGTATCTACAGCCTGATTGATCTTCCTCCGTCGTTCCTTCATCATCATCATCATCATCATCACAGTAGTAGTCCCCAACAAAGTCACTGTTTGATAAAAACTTCAGTGAACAGCTGTTTGAAGAGATTACTGATAAAACTATAGATTTGTGTTTTCAGAGTTTCATGTCTTCAGTACATGAGGTTAGAAACATACAGAATAACACCAGACTGAACCTGTGAGGAGATTTTTTGCAGCGTGCTGATGGACGTTGCTTTTCTCAGAGACTCTCCTAAAGTCGCCTCCTCCCTCCTGCTGATCTGGCAGCGCGCTCCATTAAAAAAATCTCATCTCATCTCTGCACCATTACAACCTACGTTTACAGCTTGAAACAAAATACTAAAGCAATAATTCATCTGAGGAGAAATTAATGACTCCTAGTTTTCCCTCTTTAAATAAATCTAACAGAATCTGCCTCCATTAAAGTTGTGCTTTAAGACAACACGGCCACAGCAAAAATACATGCCGGAGAAAACTAGGCAGCACGTTAGTAGAATACTCAGGCAGCAACTAGACAGACAGACAGACAGACAGAGACATGACCCATTCATCCAAACACACAAACACATTTATTAGTTCCTTATCGCAAAAAAGCAAAAATCCGCTACTATATCAAGGTTTACTATGGAATCAAGTTGTAGTCCGTTATCTTATAGCTGCAACTGTTGATGACACACACACACACACACACACACACACACACTGAGAGTTACACACAACCAAAGTGTTCCAACTTGCGCCGCTTCTTTCATTTTTTATGAGACAATCACAAATATCACCGAGCTTTTAAATGTGAGTCTGATTTTATCTTTTCAGAAATATCCACAGATGTTTTTGTGTCTCATTTTTTCCTCGATGTTTCGGCCTCTCGTGCACACGCAGGCGGAGTTTTCGGTAACTAAAGCACTTTTTTAGAAACGTCTTCTAAGGTGTGAATTTATCAAAACTCGACAGTTTTTTCCATTCCGACAGTCACTATGTCAGATAAGAGTGCTGAGTCATTAAATCTTGCCGTCACTCGGCCGGCAGACATGATGGACTACACGTTGGTCCAGGAGCAATCTTTCCTGGTCGTCTTTCATGACGTACGTAACGTCATCGGGTTATTCTTGTGATATTTCTAGTTTTATTGCTGTTGTGTCAGTCACTGTGTTCATGTGCCCGCTGAAATGTTACTGTGGGAAAGTAAAAAGTGTCCAGCTGGACTGAATTCATTTAAAGAAGAGCGCAGCCTCGTCCACATAAAATGACATCGTTGTGTCGTCTGAGGTGACGCAGGTCAACGACAAACAGCCGACTGACTAAACTTCCAACATGTGGTTCGTGGAAACCACACACACACACACACACACACACACACACACACCTTCTAGCGTGCTGACATAAATTCGGCCTGAGATGGTAAACACGAGCTGATTGGTCCAGATCCTCAGGCTGTGAGTGACAAACTTCTCTAAAAACAACAGGAGAAGGTGACAGAGGAGAGGAAACAAACAAACAAACAGAAACAGGCAGCTGCGTCCTGACAGTTCAGACGCTCTTTTATCTGGACAAACTGTCCCACTTGAGTCCTTCCTCAGGACAAAGCATATCTACATCCTTACAGAAGGGCTGCGCAGGTCTGACTTAGTATAAAATCCAACAGGATGTGATGTCAGCAGAGGGCGGGGTCAGGAAAAGGGAGAAATTAAAGGTGCCATTTCCTGTTGGACACTGTTCTAATCTGCATCACAAGTCCATCTGGTCACTGTTTGGTCTGTTACGTCACTTTCTCCCAAATGTCTGATCACTTCCTTCAGGTTTGTCCCGACGTCACAAACAACCTGACAATTTTACACGTCGACCAACCGCTAACAAAAAAAAAAAAAAAAATTTCAAATGAGAGAAGAAGAAAAAAAAACAGGTTTGTCGAGCGGTCGACGAGTTTTACAGCAGAGAGGAATAAAAGACGTCAGGTGAGGTTTTCAGAACCTGGAGACTTTTCTGACGTAGGCAAGAGGAGGCAGAAGAGTTAACATTCATGATCTACCAGATGGAGGAGGAGGAGGAGGAGGAGGAGGTACAGAGGGGAGAGAAGAGGATGATGAATGGGAGAAGAGAGAGTGTTTGTGAGGTGTTGTTGGGTTCACTGCTGATCCTGATGTCCATGAAAAAGGCCTTCTTCTGGGCGAGGATTAGACTGTTGCAGTTCTCTGGAGGCTGGCGCCGCCTACTGGCCAGGTGAGACGTCACCTTCTGTTACCTGTTGTCCTTTAACAGCAGGCGGAAACTGTGGAGCTGATGTATACTGGTGGACAACCTGAGAGACAGAGACAGAGAGAGAGAGGCGGTGAGACAGGTGAGACAGTGGTGGCGGATCAGTAGAGGGCGCCAACAGCAACAACAAGTTTCAATGATACTTCACCTGCAAACTGTTTGTACGTCACTAAGGCTGCTGTCAGCTCTAGAGTGGTCTCCTTTGGTCTGAATCAGGGACTCATGTTGTTCCAAAGTTGTATAATTGCCTAGAGTTGGTTGGTGTTCTCACGGCAGCATTTACAAGAGGACCAGATCAAATGCCTTGTGATGGTACATCATTGTTAGCTGTTGTCCAAAGGGCTCTAGTTAAGCTAACGTTAACTTCTGGAGCTTAGCTTCATTAACTTATCTGTAATGGCAGAGATAACAAAGGTTGGCAAACGTTATGCTGAATGATTCAGTGTAAATACTGTAGCACCAAACTAACGGAGAGACACTCTTGGTAAAGATGGTAAAAAGGCCGTTATCCTTTTCTCATATTCTGAGCCAAAAACCTTAACTTCAGTGGCACTTTAACTTGTTGTCTTTGATGGTGACGGCAACCAGATGCGGTTCACAAGCGTACACTGTGACCTGTAAATTTTGGCTTGTAATTTAAGCTTTTCATCGACCTTCTCAACAATAAAATGATGAATATATCCCTCCAATGCGTAGTTTAGGCCCTTTTGGTTACTTCTCAATCACATCTGATCGTTATGTCCCCAAAAATCATCAATTGCCTCCTGTGAAATGCCGTGTACTGTGACACCTGCCATAGCGCCGCTCACTGAATGTTGATAGTTTGTCTGAGTGAGTGGAGGGGGGCGTGGCTTAGCCATAGGTCAACTGCGTCTCTGCTTTTGCAGATGATGTGGTTCTGTTTAATCAAAGTTTTCGTCACAAACTCAAGGTCACACAAATGGTCATTTTGTGGTGGAAGTACTCCTTAAACTGAGAGTCAGCACAGTGTCTGTCTCCCGTCTATCACAGCCTCTGTCAGCAGCTGTCACTGGTCTCTAGAGATTGAACGTACCTGCCGAAGCCGTTCAGTAAGGCCACGATCTCCTGGCGAGTCAGCTGGAAACCTTTAGAGGGGCTGTGTTCAGGAAGATTCTGGATCTCCTTCTCAGAGAAGAGGACCTTCAGAGCTGTACCCAAACCCTGAGTCTGCACACAACACAGCGGGAGGAAAACTGTTAGAGAGCTCTGGTATTATGGCAACTCCTTTAATCTGTTGCGGTGACAGCAGCCTGTGATTTTTATTCTAACCTGTTATTACATTAAAGATCAGTTCTGAAGAGTCAGAATGTAATTTCTACATGTAAAAAATGATGTACGTGACACCGATAACATTCAGAGCAGGCGGATCAGAATCTGAATGCTTCTCACCTGTAGTTTCCCCCACAGCCGACATTTACTGCAGCCGACACAGTCCATGATCCTGGAGATGTTTTTAAAATGGAGGCGGAATTCCTCCTGAAGGAAGAAACACGAGACTGTTCAGAGTTTCTGTTCAACACGAAATCATTTAAAATCATACACGTATCAAAGCTGCGTTGATGTCGTTAACGAAAGCTGTGATTAAATATGTTCGTCAACAACCAAGACGATGACGAGATGACACCAACATCGTTAAATAACCAACTGTGACCATATCAACACGCAATACTGCTGACGAAAAAAGACTTAAGTTTAAAAATTAAAATGTTACTTAAATCTCTTTATCTTCACTGACGAAAAGAAAAGACGAAATATTTTTTATTTTTACTAAAACTAAAATAGTTTCCCTTGACTTAAATTAAAAAGTTAGTTTCCTTTGTCCAAAACTCAAATAGTTCCAGTTTTCATGAACTTAAACTGAAATAGTTTCTTTGACTAAGATAAGGCTAAAATGAGTCAACTAAAACTTGAGTTACAAACAGGATGAGGTTGACCACATGTGATAAAAACTGCTAAGTACATTTAACACAGGACCAAAACTGAGACTAAACAATACAAACAGCTGGCAAAATGAGCTCTTACACTCAAGCAGCGCTCATATATGATGTGGCAGAAAATGGAGCTGGTTATGGAGTGAGGTTACACTGCTGTTTTGTTAAATACACAAATAAATCAAACTGGTTTCAGGCGTCACTGCTCATTAAAAAGAGAGCGTCAGAATAAAAAGGCACCTGCTCTGTTTGAAACCACAAAAACAAACTTGTCTCTCTCCTTGTGTAGGACGAACAGACACTGGAAAAGGTTTTGGTTTCACCTTTAATGTTTTGGCTTCCATTTTGTGTCCGGCGAACATGGACTTCTCATCAAAGTGCATGGGGAAAGCTCTGGAAGACAAGCGGAGCCGTTAGTCTTAAAATAACGACTGAACTTGTAAACGACCTGCAGAACATCAAGTATATGATTTAAGCACATTTCTGTGTTTTAACACAAAGAAACATCACACGCCAGCTGTCAGAGAACACAGAAGCTGCTGGTTTGTGTTACTGTGTGACTTTGGTGTTTGAGTGGTAGACCAGCAGCTCCTGAGTTTAACAATGTTGAATCTCTGCTTTGCTTAATGGAGTCTGGCTTTGAAGAGAAAACAGTTAACAGCTTCACTTCCCCGTCAGGTACAGCGTTTCTTTGGACTTCAGTCGACCTACAAACGAGCCCGTCTTACTTGATCTCGTTGAAGATCTGCAGCAGCAGGTCCTTGGTGGCTCCGTCCTCCTGCGTGTTTCCCGTGTACAGGTTGACAAATGCTCGCTCAAAGTACGGAGCCACCTTGTAGAGCGCCCGCAGCTCGATCAGGTACAGGAAGTAGAGGTTCTTCAGCCGCCGCGTGCCCTCGCCCTTCGTCTCCGCTGTGTCGAAGCGACGCCGAAACTCCTGAACATTTGGACCCCACACCGACCGGCCCCAGCCCTCTGAGGAGTCAAACAACAGCAACGGTTTAATGCATTCTGTCGTAAAACTTTCAACTCATATTGAACTCAGAGACAGGAGGATAAGTAGATTATTCCAATTTCATTGGCAGTTTTTTTCTGATAAATATTATCCAGTTCTCAGCTTTCTAGAACTTTTGTTTCTGTGTAAACTTTTCTGGTTGCAGCCTCTTCTGATGAAATTAGGGAGGCCTGGACATGGGAACTGGGCCTTGAATTATCTCCAGTTTCATGTGGTAAGAGTCTTTGACACAGTTCTGCTCTGTTAACGGTCGACACCAGCTGATCTAGTTAAAGCCGTCCACAGTCTTCACCGTTGAAGTTCACGTTAAGTGACAGAGTATTTTGTCTCACACTTTCTGGCTCTTACTGGATTCTGTCCCCAAATATTTTACTGGAACTCAAAGGACTATTAAGGAACCATCCAAGTGGAGGCTGGACTCGCCACATTCGGCTGCTCACAATTCACTCCGCACCTTCCAACAGTCCTTAATGCTAGCAATGACTGGCACCAGACTTTGAGGGAATGGAAATCCAGCCATTTTTCCCAATATCATCCACCTGCAGAGACTCACAATCCTGTCAGTCAAACACTCATCAGTTTTTAATGCAGCCAATCACTGCACAAAAGTGGGAGTAGTTAACATTTCAACTAGAGGTAGCTAGCATCTGCGTATCAACCCCCCGATCATAGCAGTATATAGTAACTTCAGCCACTGCTGATTTTATTAGGACCCCCGTAAGAAAGCGTGTTCTCTGTTTCAATGATCAGACAATTCACGGATGATGAATCATAGTGGTTTGTTTCTAGCTGCCAGCATTAGCTAGCATAGTTAGCATGTTAGCTAGCTTAGCTGAAAAGTTGTGTATTTCCACTTCAAAATGTTGATTAAACACGTTGCTGTCTGTTGATACTTTGTTCAGGGGTTAATACTAGAATGATGGTTCAGAGGGACATTGGACACCGGAGGAAAGCCGACAGACCCTGCTAACATCCCGCCCTCCCTCTGGTTGGTCTAGCAGAGGAGAAGATCACAACCTGGGTCAGTGGGGTTTTGTTACAGGCTGTTTGGAGGTTCAGAGCCAGGATGATTGTCATATTTTTTCCCGGGGATTTCATGCCCCTGTCCTCCAGACCAGAGCATGTGAGCGGAGCGGAAGGATTCTGTGTTGAGCGAGGAGCAGCAAGGTGGAGTGGAGCCTTATTTCTCGCTCCAATTTCGCTCCGCTTGCTCATGCCCCACCCAGAATGCATCTTTGCACCTGCGCACACCCACACTATTTTCTTTCAAAACTATGGAGTTTACTGTGTACTTCAGAAAAGAAACTGAGAAGAGAAGCAGCGGTACCGTGGAGAACGGTCCCTAACTGCAGGGAGAGAGGAGAGGGCTTCCCCGGAGAATCTACCAAGCTCATGTTTTATTTGTGAATAGAAGATTACAGGTTAAGGTAGTACAACACAGTTTTTTTGAGCGAAGTGGTGAGCGAGTGGAGCGGGATAAAATTTATGATGGAATGGAGCGGAGCGAAGAATGCGCAGAACCAAGCGGAGCGGACAAGCGGCACAAAGTGACAGGTCTGCGAGCGAGGAGTGGAAATTTTCACCTGGTCCGCTCTGCTCACATGCTCTGCTCACATGCTCTGCTCACATGCTCTGCTCACATGCTCTGCTCCGGACGGACGGTGTTGTTCCTTCGGACCATCCATTTTAGCACGAATCCAAATCAAAGTATCACCAGACGGCAACGTGTTTAATCAACAATTTGCAGCTAGCTAAGCGCGCTAGCTAGTGGACAAGTTTAGTACTTCCACTCTAAACGAGAAATTGCGAATAAAAGGCTAGTGTCATTTTTACAACAACGTTTTTGAATACATATTTAGCAATCTCCGTCTGTACAACATCTGTACGTCTAAAACGGCAGCTCTCCGGCTCTGCAGGTGGATGTTCCTCATTTTACTGTTGGAAGTCACATTAGATGAGACGTAGTCTGGTGTGGTCTGAAGCTGTAATGAAACCCTGCTTTGCTCAGTGTGACCAGGTCTGATGTTTTATAGACTTGAGACTGAATCAGCTTTAGTTTAATAAAAACAACTGTTGTGAGATCAGTCTGACGTACCGTCCAGCAGGTACTGGGCACACAGGTGGATGTTGATGCTGCTGTGGAGGCCTGAGATGAGTCGGTAGAAAACTCTCTTCTCCAAACACAAACCTAAAGACACAGACAGAGGAAGTAGTGCAGAGGACATGTTTGATTCATCAGAGCAAACTGAGGAATCCAAAAGGTTCAGTCCACCCAAATTTATTTATTATTATCTCTTCATGCAGATGGTTTTATTTGTCCGTATTAAGAGGAGTCTGTCTCTGACATTTTTCACACCAAATATCTCCCCTTCTGTTCCTGAGATATGACGTTAAAACATGATGATGTCATGCATTCACAGACAAACACTTGTCTTTATCTGGACATATTTTCCCCACAAATACAACATGCTAACGTTATTAGCACAAGCCTATGGCATTTTACATTGTATAAATTAGCCTAATGAATAGTAGACTTTTTTCTCTACTCATATGAAGCCAGGGACAGTGGCAACATTTAACAAAGGTAACGTTACAAAATTATAAGATGGCTGCAGGCTGGTGAGGACGACGGGAAACGCATTTGAGCAGAAGCTGCAGTTTCATTTACACGGGAAGAACAATGACTGAGAGCTAAACTCAAAGTGTCTGCTGTTGTTTTTAAACACACAGAGACAAACGACAGCTAACGTTTTCCTTCAGTTCATCCAAATAAAATGGAAAAGTGCCTCACTTGTCAAACTCTTACATCACCCAAAATACAGCTTTTTTTTCTAGGTCAGGAGCTGCCAGGAAGCAAAGGTTTAAAAAGGAAGTTTGAAGTTGTTTGTGAGCTGAACGGTGAAGGATGTCACAGACCGTTTCCTTTGAGAGGAAAAAGATAAAAACACGAGGAAGCACTCACCTTCGAGCCACTTGTAGAAACCCTCTCCTGCAACATGAGCAACATCAGAAAAGAGACCTCATCAGTTTTTACAACACGAATAAAAATAAATTCACGTGAGGACAGTTTAGTTTTACTCACCGTCGTCGTCTCCTGAACACAGAAAGACAAAGAGAGACAGGGAACAAAGCTCCGTTAGATCTGTGCTATTAATAAACACACACACCTTCATTAACACACACACACACACACACACAGATAAACACACTTATATAAAAGATGCAGGACAACAGCAGCGCGTTCATGAGAAGCTGCAGTTTTCAGATTTACTTTTAGAAGTCAGAAATTAAAAAACAGGATAAATCTGAAACTGAAAAAGATTCATTTGAGTTGGGTTTTTAAATCTGGGCAGATTAAGTATAGATGGGTTCATCATCATCTGGGTGAATATAGGAATTAATTAAAAGGTGTATAAACTAGGGCTGCACATTATGAGGGAACGAGAAGTCCCGCCCCGCAGCTGTATGACTCCGCCCACCAGTCCAGTGTCTCTGACAGTCTGCATCCATGTCAGTGAAAACATGGACGCTTCACACACAGAAGATCTATACAATCAGCACAGTTTCAAGATTAGAGTCACCAATTCAGTATCTGACCAAATGTCTCCCCTTCTGTTCCTGAGATATGACGTTAAAACATGATGATGTCACAGTCAAGATGACCTTTGACCTTTTGACCTTTAATATTTTATCCTGTTAAGGTGCGGACACACCAAACCAACATCAAAGAACTAGCGGCGACGAAAGCCAACTGTTGCGTCGTCTACGTCGCCTCACGTCGCCCTGTGTCAGTTGCATTTGAACACACTACACGGACTACATCCGACGGCCAAGTAGCACGTACGTTCTGCGCCTGCGTGAGAGAGAGCGGAGTGAGAGAGTGGTACATCCTGTCAGCCGAGGGGTTTCCTATCTGTGCAGCCGAGCACCGCAGCACCTCCACGGACTATTACATCCAGACGGTCCCGGTGTTTCCTCCGCAGGCTCCACTTCACTCAGCTGCCCGATAAACCCGCTGCTTCTTCCCACTTTAACCTGAATAACAAACCAGGGCTCGGTGCTCCGGTTGGATCCAAACGGAGAGCCGGGGCTAGCTCAGAGACTAGCGGAGGCTAACTGGCTGTGCTTCCCTCCGGTCATGCTGCGGCTAACGCTCCGCTAGCCGCTCCCAGCTAGCTCCGGTTTGTTATTCAGGTTAAAGTGTGAAGAAGCAGCGGGTCTGTGGGGCAGCTGAGTGAAGTGGAGCCTGAGGAGGAAGCACCGGTTAGCCCCGGTTTCACTACAGGCAGATTCACTCGCTACAGGGGCGAGGAAATAAAACCTGAACAGCCAATCAGAGTGATCTCTCTCACCGACAAGCTCCGCCGCCGACTCAACATGCTCAATCGGCCAAAAAGTGAAAGTGCGGACGGTGCGGGACACACCGCAAAAACTAGGCCGACAGACGCTCACCGATGGCCGACCGTCGGCTTGGTGCGTCAGGGCCTTTAGCCAAGTTGCTGTCAAGTTTGGTCAGAATTAGCGTATTAATTCTTCAGTTATGGACAGAAACATGTTTTGTGAGGTCACACTGACCTTTGACCTTTGACCACAACATTCTAATGAGTTTATTCCTTGGTTGGAACCAGTGCTTATTTGACTTCCTGTTGCCTTTCTATCATCTTGAACCAGTCTGGCCATTCTCCTCTGACCTCTGGCATCAACAAGGCATTTTGGCTCACTGGATATTTGCTCTTTTTGGGACCATCCTCTGTAAACCCTAGAGATGGTTGTGCTGAAAATCCCAGTAAATACTCAGACCAGCCCGTCTGGCACCAACAACCATGCCACGTTCAAAGTCACTTCAATCACCTTTCTTCATCATTCTGATGCTCCGTTTGAACTTCAGCAGCTCGTCTTCACCATGTCTACATGACTAAATGTTAATGAGCTGCTGACACCTGATTGGCTGATTAGCTTTTTGCTTTAATGAGCAGTTGAATAGGTGTACCTAATAAAGTGGCCTGTGAGTGTATAAGTGAATTATTGAGACAGCTTCTTTATGGGACTGATTTAGTCTCAAGTTTTAGTCGCCCACTCGACACATCGGTGTTGTGGGTTTCACTTCCTGTCTCATGTGAGGCATTATGGGTAAAGATGTGAATTAGAGATATCTGTAATAAGCTTCCGTTTCATCTCTCGGTTTTTATCAGGCTGAGGAAAAAAAAAAAACGTGTCAACGAGTCTGCTGCGTTTTCACTTTTACTTCCTGCTGAGTTTAAACTGTTCCACACTCACATGGAAGTGACACCAGCAGAGGGCCATTATTTTTACATGAGTAAGATATAACTAATCAGACACACAATGAGGAACAGAAATTCAGGTGCTGGTTTTAGGGGGGAGGTTCAGACTTTTTTCAGTATCGTCCTTTGAGGACGAACAACAGGTTAAAAAAACAAAAGAAGTCCAAGTTCACAAACATGAAATATTGTCTGAAAACAAGCAGCTCTACGTGAAGATTGTCGAAATACAATTCAGTTTAAATTGGAAAAACCTACAATTAAATCAGGAACAAGATCATGAATCTGACATCTGATGGAAGCTTTCAGTGTTTGACTGTTTAGTCACAACATTTCTGATTTCAGGTAAAAAAAAAAAAAAAAAAAAGAGAGTTTCAGATTTAGTTTGTTGAAACTTGACTGTTATTGATTTTTCCTGACTCACCTCTGCTCGGAGCCAGAGGGTTCAGAGGTCGGTACACTGATCTGGGCCTGTCAGCAAAGGAAGAAAGATTTTTATTAGTGATCAATAAACACGAGAGGATCAGAGTCACACTGGCAGGAAGGTGATTGTTTTTCTTTTCTTTTCTTTTCTTTTCATTAGACACGTATATAAACAAACAACATAATGTCACAGTGCCCTCGAGTGTGTGTGTGTGTGTGTGTGTGTGCGTGTGTGTGTCTCACTTGAAGCAGTTTTCCTCGTAGATGCTGTTCCAGACTCTCCAGGCTGAGGGACCCTTGTATCCAGTGAATCGTTCCGGATTTAGCAGCAGATCAACGTACTCTGCATCAGGAGAGGTTTCATCTAACACACACACACACACACACACACACACACACACACACACACACAAAACAGACTTTAATGGACTGAGAGCATCGACCAATGTAGGTGAGCTCATTGTGATGTGTAGACTTTTCAGTCACTGACTTCATGTTGGCTGGGTGATAAAATGATCTCAAAACAGGACCTCACTAAAATGTATGTCGATTATAAGTCATTTTTACTCCATATAGATCGACCCAGATCGATCCAAACAGCAGGAGTTAACAGACAGCTGTCAGTCAATCTGCAGTGTTGGGGATGCACGTTATTGTACACGCCCATTTTTCACTGCATAGTGCGTGCCGAAGTGAGGAGGAAGTGGAAGTAATGTGGACTTAATGAAAAGAGCAGAAAATGAGTGGAGGTGAGGCACAAAGCTGTGGTGAAGCAAAAAAGGTTACACAATGTCCATAATTTGGAATAATAGCATTTTAAGTCTTGTGTGTGATTTATCCTGGCTTCATATGAGCAGAGGAAACGTTCGCTAGCTGCTAGGCTAATTTATACAATGTAAAATGCCATAGGCTTGTGCTAATAACGTTAGCATGTTTTATTTGTGGGGAAAATGTGTCCAGATAAAGACAAGTGTTTGTCTGTGAATGCTGCGAGTTATAGTGAAGCTGATTTATGTTTGAAACTGTCTCTATTAAGCCATGTTTAATGTGTGTTTAATGTGTGTTTAAGGTGTTTAATGTGTGTTAAATGAGTGTTTTGCATTCGACATCTCAAATGTGGCTTTGACCTGCAACTGTTAACATTTAGTTCATTTCGTAGAAAAAAAACGATCTATATGTCGTGTATCAACCTATAAATACCGAGCTATGAATTTCTGTCCCTATTGCCCAGCCCTAGGCTGTGGTGTAGAGATGCATGCCCAAAAGAAAAGCCCACACTTCTGGTCAGAGGGAAACACGCCTACTTTCTTGGATGTCAGCAGGTTTTTGGATGTGCACAAACATCACAACGTCGACCTTTTTAAGAAAGTGGTTTTACTTTAATCAGAGAATGCACAGCTGCATGTTCATGGTAATAATAGTGAGATATTCTTTTTTATTACTCATGTAAACAGCTTAGTGGGAATATTGTGTTTTCAGAATAAGGGCAAAACCAGAATATTTAAAAGTCAGGATGATCATACAAGAGAAGAAACATCCACCACACGGATCTGGTAAACCTGTCCGCTAGTTGCTCAGGTGTGGTGCTGTAGGTCAAAGTGTTGGACAGACAGAGTAAATCCTCACCATCCAGCTCACAGAAGTGGTCCTGAGCATCGTCGTGTCTCGCCCAGTCAGCGAACGCCTCTTTACTCTGGTTACTGAAACAGGAAGTAATAACCTTTGTCAGTCACAGAGGCGACACGGTGACATCACAGCAGGAACGAATCGGAAAGAGAAAGAATATGATTTAAAAAAATTAACAACTTGATTAATTCAAACATTTATGGAGAACAAAAATACACAAACTTTTCTATTGCTAAGAACGACTTCTCACTTTTTTGTTTGTGACTTTCAGACCCTGAAATAAATGTTCTCAAATCAGCCTTTTCTGACGCTGCTGTTATTAACTAGCCTGTGGAATAACCCTGGAAATTAACCTGACTCCTGTCTGACTGCTGAGCGTGGTGTCTGTCCTTTCAAATTAAAATCACACATGGTCCAGTCATATAGGTTTGGATTTATTTTGAAAAGGTGTATCCGCAATGTTGCAGCAATGTGGCACACGCTCTAAAGGCGATTTGTTTCCATAAAGGCCCATTTATGCTCCCTTTACGTACGAAAATGTATACGTCCATTCCTTTACGTTGGCATGGATGTTAACCAATATATCCACCAGGAGGCAGCCCAGAGTCAAAAGTTTATAACAACAACAAACTCAAAAACAAACATGGCGACTGTGGAGGAGATATTGATAATTTACTTCTTTCATAAAAGACTAAAACAGAGGCAGTGTTGTAGGAGGCGGTGGTCGGTGAGGCCGTTAAATACATCACGACTGGAGGACGGAGAATTCTTTTCCTCAAAAAGTTCCACCATTGTTATTTCTTCTTCATGTCTCACTAGAGCTACGTATCAGGTAGTGACAGCAACACTGCCCCCACGGTTCCCGGTGGTACTGCTCCGTTTGGCTCATATCCGTAAGCTTTACGGAAATGTGCAGAAATACGGATGAAATGAACGCGGAGCACGGACAGAAGGCTCCGTCCGTATCCAGATCCGTATTTAACGTTGAGCATAAATGGGCCTTAAAACGGGGCTGTCTGTGCAGTAGAAAGAAGCAGGTACTACATGGTGCTACATGACCACAGAAAACAGAGCATGGTTAAATAAAGCAGAAGATTTCAGACTTAAATCTGAATTTTGAGGATTTATTTTAAGGTTTAATCAAACCTCAGGGACCCACAGCATCCCTCTGATTATTGATTAATGATTAAGCGATGGCTGCAGGATCGAGGTTTGCAAATTTCCAGTTTGGTGAAAGATGAGAAACAGAGAAATAAAGTATGATGTGGATGACAGACTCGTCCAGGTTTCATACCACAGCCCTGACGTGACTCTGTGACTGCTCGCAGTAGATTTAAGTCTCTTTTCTCTTCCTGGTTTGTTCACAATGAGGTTATTTTTAGACTTTTGAGTCGAGCAGGTTGAGCAGGTTTTTAATATCCAGAGTGTCGTATTATCTTTGTAGTTTCAGCACAAACTTATCGGTGGTTTGAATTTGCCTTCATTTGATTCTAACTGCCGGTGTCTGAACTGATGATAACCCTCCATATTTTCCATGACAGTGATGCAGCTGAGGTCAGTCTGCTGTGAAGCGCGCAGCAGCTGCCGGCTAGACGTCTGTGAATGTTTGACCTGCTCACTATCAGCTGCTGGAGCTGCTTTGCATTTTGAGTAAATGAGCTGCTGCAGCTGACAGAGTGAAAGATAAAGACGACAGGAGGAGGTCTGTGGTGTCACCTCAGGGTGCTGTTGATGGCGCCCAGCTCTTCGGCCTGTTCACACTCCGTCATGTCCGACATCGTATTTGCTGCCTGGGAATACTGGAAACAGAGAGAGAAGTTTAGTGAGAGGGACGGTGCAGCTGCTGATGTCATGCTAATAATGAACTAGTTCAGCTGAAGGAAAATCTCTTTTTGATGAAGTGGTGTCATTTTTTATGAGCCCACAACAAGTGAGAATGGTTGATAGGGTACCTTTGGAACCAACAGTAGCTCTTCAGACATAGTGACTGAAATAACAGTAATAATAATAATAAAAATAGGACGAGAATAATCCGATGATATCACACACGTTGGGACAGACGACCAGGGATGATTGATCGCCAACCAGCGTCTAGTCTGCCGTGTCTGTCGGCCAAGTCACAGTACAATTTTATGACTCCACAATCAGCTAATCTGACAGTGACTGTCAGAACAGACAAAAACTGTCACGTAGTCTGAACCGTCTTCTGTTGCACGGCAGGCACCTCAAACTCATCTCTCCCTTCTTTAGCTGACTGGTCGACACAAAATGCATCACTTCCTGTGCACCTGCGTGGGAAAGTCGCCGCAGACACCACAGCTCCAGCACAGTGAGAAATACATGGAGCTTTCCCTGGTGGTTTATCAGCATTGTGTCAACTGGTTTGGCGAGAGTGCAACAGACGTTCATTTATATGTTAATTTCTTAAGATCCACTGTAAACGCTGTGAATCAGAGCCGACTGAAGCTCCTGTCAGCGAGGAAACCACAAGCTGTAACAGCCACGAGTGTTTTAAAATACAGATTTCAGGTGGAGTGTCACGCTTGTTACACACTTAACCTGTCGAGTTCCAGATGGGTCAGTTAGGATCTGTAAACTCCTGCAGACGCTCCTCACACACTGCTGAGGTGGCACACAGTCGTGTTTCCCAGCTGACGGCCAGTGAAACACTGTCGACCTTGACTGGGACGTGTGCAGATGTCCAAACACTTCTGGCTCATTACAGGACAAACATCAGGCTGCGAGCCAAGAGCTGCTGGCAAACACTCAATCCTCAGTCTCTACATGGAAACTATCGGAGCAGATAAGCTGAGTGCTGGAAGAGTAAAGTGTGTGTGTGGGGGTGTGTGTGTGTGTTTTTACTGAATCAGCTAATGAGACAGAAAGTGCTGGAACAAACACAGCTGGTCCTGAACTGCATCAAACACGTAAAAGGAATTTGTTGTCCAAAGACGAAGGACACGTATAAAATCAGTTCAACAACAGGCTGCGTTCACAGATGGTTAACAAAAGTCTGGTGATGTTTGTCACTGTGTTTTAAAGCACAGAGTGAGCAAAGAGTGAGTGTATCTACTGACAGGTACAGTGAGCGTATCTTCTCTCTCTCTCTCTCTCTCTCTCTCCCTCTCTCTCCCTCTCTCTCTCTCCCTCAAGGCTTTCCATGTAAGCATGTGGAAGGGCAGGAAGTTTTGCGCTCTCTACCTTGAGGCTTTCCACCTAAGCATGTGGAAGGGCAGGGAGGTTTGCTCTCTTCTGCCTTGAGGCTTTCCACCTAAGCGTGTGGAAGGGCAGGAACATTTGCTCTCCCTGCCTTGAGGCTTTCCAAGATTGGAAGGGCAGGGAGGATGGCACTTTCTGCGTTGAGGCTTTCCACATAATCACACAGAAGGGGCAGAGAGGTGTGCTCTTCATGCCTTAGGCTTTCCACATAGGCACATGGAAGAGGCTTTCTGCGTAGGCCCGAGGAAAGGCAGAGAGACCCCAGAACAGAGCCATACTACTAAATATAACACTGCAAATGGAAATAAAGTTTCCTTTGACTTAAGTGTTCCTGACTGACATTTAATCAGTTCATCGCTGAGTCCAAGTAGACGTTTTTGCCAAATATGAAGAATCTCTCTAAAGGCATTTGTGAGATACAAAGTGAGATTGCAAAACGTTTGGACACCCTGCTTTAGTTACATTCACTGTTTCTACCCGAAGGAACAAAGAAACATGTTAAAGTGATTGACTTTAGAAAGTCCCTCACCTTGTTGTAGTTCCCAGACTTGATGCCCACTGGGATCTTACTCTGTAAAACACAACAGAGATCAACAAACAAACAACAGACACTTTTATCTAAACAGCTAAATAAATAAACCCCCCAAAAAAATCATGCATCAGAACACAATATAAAAACTATTTTAGTAATTTTATCAGTGTTTGAAAACTGACATTAAACTAGTAAAAACAAATACAACATGCTAACGTTTTTAGCACAAGCCTATGGCATTTTATATTGAATAAATTAGCCTAGCGACTTCCTCTGCTCATATGAAGCCAGGATAAATCACACACAAGATTTAAAATGCTATTTTAGTGGAAGCTTTATTGTCTTCACAATTTATTGTTTCTTATCTGTGAAATTAAAGTAAATAAAAGGTGGACAAAAAAATTATATTATTCACGATAACAAGCATAAACAACTACCACAGTCATTGAATCAGTCATGTAGAGCAGACGGATGTTAAAGCCTTATTCCTGTGCTGTTTCTTTTCATTCCTATTGTTTAATTTACACACCTACTTTGTAATTTGCTCGACAAATAAGACGCATTATTGTTAGAATTTTTGTTAATATTAAGCAGGAGTGAGTGTGGTTGACCTCTGACCTCTGGACAGGGCTCCACATGGCAGTCTTTGATGGCACAATGTCCGTCGTCGGGCCAGAAGGGACACGGTCGCTTCAGGTTCACCTGGAGATGAGAAGATTACATTATTTAAAGTCTGGTTCAACTTAACCAACCACACTGTCTTTGTTAGTTTCACCTCACTCTACTAAAATTATTATTATTCTTTAAGAAAGTAAGATTTCAAGTCTTATTTACATGATAAACATCACACAAAAATTCATCCATCCATTTGTAACCGCTTATCTGAAGCTGGGCATCCCTCTCCCCACCAAAGCTTTCCAGCTCCTCCTGGAGGACCCCGAGGTGTTCCCAGTCCAGATGAGATATATAATCCCTCCAGCGTATTCTGGGTCTGCCCCGGGGCCTCCTACCAGTGGGACGTGCCCAGAACACCTCTAAGAGGAGGCACCCAGAAGGATCCTGATCAGATGCCTGAACCACCTCAACTGACCCCTTTGGACGCGAAGGAGCAGCGGCTCTACTCCGAGCTCCTTGCTTTATCTCTAAAACCCTGTCTCCACCAAACCCTTTCAGTCCAGCACCTTTGGAACCAGCAGTAAGCCTTCAGACATGGTACCTAGACCCTCGGTCTGTTCAGACAGTCCTCTTAAATGTGGGCGGGGTTGTTGTCACTCACTGCTCCGTCCAGCACTCGCTGTATTTCCTCATCAGCGGTGACACAGATGGAAGTCTGCACCTGGTTTATCGTCCACAGAACGAGGCTGCACGCCCACATTTTCACAACAAAATACAACAGGCTGCAGTGAGAGTCTCTCTCCATGGGATATTTAAAAATAGCAGCTTTGTGCATTTAGTCCTTCTCAGGCAAGCTCAGGGGTTTAGTGTTGCTGTAGCCCACAGGAAGTGAGGATTAGAATATATGACCTTCACATAATTCGCTCCAAATTAATCTATATTTTTAAAGTCATTACTAAAAGTGTGTGTCATATAAAAACTAAAGTGATGGTCAAAGTTGTCACAGTGAAATTTAAGGTGTGCTGATGGATTCACGTCATCAACTCATGCATTGAGTAACATTACAAGTTAACGTTCCACCTTAAAAGTTGCCGGCAGTCGGCCCAGTGAATGAAGTTATTTTTTTCTCTTTCATTTTATAGTTGTAGTTTACTGATGTATGAACAGAGGTTACATAAAACCAGAGTGACTGTCCTCTACTGACCAATCAGACTGCAGGGTTTCTAGCTCCACCTTTTAGTACCAGATCTGTGTGCTAGGTACCCCAACAGAGGGGGGACCAAACATGGGGACACTAAGGAACGCTTCTGTTGGGACCATCCACAACTTTCACTGTGAAAACAGAAAACTAACATACCGAACTGAACTGTACCAGACTGCCGGGTGGAAACGGGGCTTAAGACTGAGCCCAGCCACCTTCTGAGGAAACTAATTTCAGCCGCTTGTATTCATGATCTCATTCTTTCGGTCACTACGCAGAGCTTATGATCATAGGTGAGGGTTGGGACGTAGATGGACCAGTACATCGAATGCTTTGCAGGAGAGAGTTACCGGCCCACGTATCTCAAGGAGTGAGGATTCACACAAAAATAAACAAATATAGATAAAATAATGGCTCACCTCAGCATCCAGTATTGGTAAAAGCAAAAATGCAATTACACATTTATACTGTGATGCAAACGGTTCCATTAACAGACCAGTTTAACACAGACGTTACTCACTGACAGCCCACTGTATCTGTTCAGGGACTACTGTTGCAATAGTTTCAGTATTTCACAATAATTCACACTTCATCCTTCCTGTTGTGCAACAGTCTCATAAAAACAGCTAAATGTGACTAAACACTAAAGCTGTTGTTGTCTTCAACAAGACGCCTGATTTCTCCAAGCAGACATTAAGAACATGACAAAGCATTCACACAGACAGGTTCTGTGTTAAGAATAGCATGAACCTGAATATCAGGGCGTGTCCTCTGCAAAGTGCTGGTCACACCAGCAGACGCTGTCACTGCAGCTACCTGCAGAACTCTGCCTCAGACAAACTGAGGGAAACACTATTACAAGTTTCAGCAGATTGTGAAGGACAGCAGCGAAGACATGTTGTTTTTACAGATTTCCTGCAAAACACATTTACGAACAAATAAACAATCGATTTAAACAAGAAGAAACTGATCACTGCTGTTTATAGAAAACAACAAGCACGGCTCAGTAAACTCTGTCACTCATAGAAAGTGAATAGAAAGCAGGAAGAAATGCAAATGAGACAGACGACCCACTGTGCTCATTTTTAGGTTCATACTTGCAGTTTGGGTTTTTACTAGACAGTATAAATTTTGACAGCTGTTTTAGAGTCTCAAAATGAAAATGTTTAGTAGTGTTGGTCATATTTATCCTTCATAGATTTAGTCGATGGAAATTCAAAACGTTTTAGTCGATTTTTATTCATAATGTTTTCTGTGAGGCTGATTCATGGATCATAAATCAGACTCAAGGTGACAGGTTGTATAAAATAATGTGTGTGTCATGTCTCCAGCAGTGTGTGACAGGTTTAAGGGCTGATTTACGAGCACACACTTACTGATCATCATCTGAAAAGCTCAACATCTCTCTATTTATGCTCTCAACAAATAACTAATGTGAGCCAACTAGGATTTGTCCCCAGGTTCACTGTAAACTCTGACTTATCCATGTGACTGTTAAGAAGCAGAAACATAACTTGTTTCTTCAGAGAGAAGTTCTGCAGACTATTTACTGGAGTTTACCAGCCTGATGCTCATCAGGCATCTGAAGAGAATCACAAGCATGGCCGTTCTCGGCTTTCAATGTCCGATGGTCCACCAAGAACATTTTTGTCATGTCATGTCAACGAAACTGAAACATAGATTACATCTTAGTTTTTAATTATCAAGACCTGTCCTTAGCTCATCATCATCTCATTTTCGCCATGGAAAAAAATTTTGTCCCATTTTTCATAAATAAAATAAACACTACTACTAGAACATGTTTACGTGCTTTAATTGTAAAAACACTTTATTTTCTTTTACCATTTCTGACTTTATAAATCTGATTTTCATTCTTTTTATGAAAAGAAGATGACATCACAAGAGGTCAATACTTAAACTGAAGAATCGCAGCATGTGGACTGTTTATTTTATTCATGAGTGAGTGCAGTGAGTCGTATTCAAGGTGAAGCAGCAGCTCTTACTCTGTAGTATCTGAAGTAGTCTTTCTCCGTCAGCTTCTTGATTCGAGGGTAAATCTTGAAGTTGTTGAAGACGTCGATGCTTTCCACGTCACAGAAGCAGTCGTCCAGGACTCCTGTCAGCTGCAGCGGAGCAGAGAGAAACAGGCTGTTACTGCACGATGACACTTCTCTCACACAACACAACTTTCACAACCACCAAACGATAACTCGGACTAAATTTAGATGCTCGAGCCCGACTCACACAGGACTGGTTTTATCAGGGGACCTCCTGTAATTTACAAATAACTCCCCAGGACTGTGCTTCATGCGACACACTCACACAGAATAACTGAAGTCTGTGTTTTACTTTATAAGCTGTTGCTTTTAACCGAGGCGGGAGACGAGACAGGAGGCCGGCTGCTTACCTGCACTGCCATACATAATACATCCACCCCCGCTGTGTCACCTGACCCCCTGCAGGTCTTACAAAATTCAGACCTCCACTTGATCAACACAGACGCTGCACCTTAAAGACAAATCTGTTTGACCTGAGGAGCAACTAAACAACCAGAGTGTGAATCTGAGAGCACTGATCAGTTCAGTAAACAGAGGGAGGCATTAAAAGCTGACGGGCGTTAACGCCACGCAGGTGGAGTGAGGAGGCTTTGGATTGGCCGATAAATAAACTCTGTTGTACCTGCTACAGTCAGTATGTTTACCTGCACAGTGAAGTGGAGCTACAGTCCCAGCTGGACGAGGACATCTAACTGGCCTACTGTCCTTGTCCCAGTATACAAGCACGGGAGGGGAATCCATTTATTGAGCCAAGTATGTGCGACTCCTCTACGATAGGTGGAGATATGCCCCCTTTCAGCTTGTTAGTATTGGACCTTTTTCCTGTTGACCTATTACGTCACAGACCAAACAATGGACAAACAAGTTAGCTACAGTTAGCTAGCAGCTAACTGCTACCATGGTGGACAACTTTACAGCTCTGTAGATTTGGTCCGTCCAAAAAGTCACGGCCAGTGCATGAAAAAAAGTTGAAGTCTCACCTCAACAAAAAAAAAACAAAAAAAAAAAACAGCCCACAACACCTGATGTGTTACTGCAGCGTGATTCAAAGTCTAGTCAAAGCTTTGTCGTCCTGCTTGTCTCATTTGTTTTTTTTATTTGCATACACAGATGTGTAAAGTGACCAAATCAGTGTTTCCTCATGTGCTACTAAGTTGTGTATCCTTCACATGACTGACCAACATTCTAAATGGTAATCAGTGAGAACAATCAAATATTTAGATCTCTGTAAATTAATTATGGTTGACAATTTTTTTTTTTTTTGTCTATGCGAAATCAAGTGTCGATTCAATGTGTGAGTTTTTGTGCTGGACGACATCACAGTTTTTATCTCACAGATCTGTAACTTCCTAATAATGTTGTCATGTGTTAACAGGAAAAAAAAATAGGTTACTTATTATTTATTACAAGGAAATCAGACCGTGTTCAACTGGTACACTTTAAATTAATTATTTCCAATTATTCTCAACATCAGATCGACAACAACTCGATATAAATGTCACATCACGTCCTGCTCAGCCGTTTGGCAGAGCACATTTTGAGTCACTATAACTTAAAAAACGTGCTGCTGTCTCTACCATTCGGTTTAGGTACGTTACGCTGAAAAAAGTTCACTAGATGTCGCTGTGTCTTTAAATACACAGTTCGCCTCCTACAGGAAGTAGAGGTGGGGGAAATAATCAATACAGGATAGTATCACCATATTTTTGTGTGGCAAAATCGTCACACAGGGCCAAATGTCGATTTCTTTTAATCATATAAATTATAAATGTTACAAATACAAATTAAACTTTAGGTTGACACTAGAATACTACAATAAATTGCTTTTTCAGTCTAATGATACAGTTTGTACAGACTGAAGACTTTATTTCATTATATAAAACAGATGTTGATAAAGTTTTCCTTTATGGACAGAATTTACAGCTGAAAAAAGGTAATAAATTGTAATATATTTTATCGCGATTCTCAGCACATCGCAACATATTTATTATCGTAATAATATTCTATGATGATAATATATTATCGAGGATCCTCTGGTGATTCCCACCTCTAAAAAGTCACTCCAGACATGAGGGCTGTGTGTAGTGGGATTTTATAGTTTCGGCTGTCTCTCTAAACAGATTTATGAAACTTTATACAAGAAATAAAAGTCTAATAAAAGGTCAAATAATTTTTAAAAGCATGCTTTACACACACACACAAATATATATATTTACTATACAATATCATCACGATACAATATCACGATATGATATGATACTTCAGTCACGATACAATATTATCATGATACGATATCACGATATGATATTGCGATACTTCAGTCACAATACAATATTATCACGATACGATATCACGATATGATATGATACTTCAGTCACAATACAATATTGTTGTGATTTTAAATATGTTGCGATATGCTGAATATTGCGATTAAATATATTGCAATTTATTACCCCTTTCAGCTGTAAATTCTGTCCACAAAGGAAAACTTTGTCAACATCTGTTTTATATAATTAGTAAGTTTTCAGTCTGTTCATCTCATTTCAGCCATTTTTTTTGCAGCAGCAGTAAAATTAACTGATTATTTTATTCTAGTGGGCTGCCTACAGTTTAATTTGTATTTGTAATATTAATAATTTAAACAATAAAAAAAAAAAGATTCTCAACACAACAATATGTGGTGATGCAATTTTGCCCCTGAATAAAAAAAAAACTATCCTGTATCAATCTTCCTCCACCCCTAATACATCAGTCATATATTTGTGGAATGGACCATTTTATTTTATTTCACTTTAATTTTATTTATGCATTTATTTTAACTAATCTTATTTCATGTCTATGTTAATACCACTGTGGTGTTGTCGTTGTTGTTGTTGTTGATGAGGGGAAGTATGGTTGTTGTTTTTTGTCTTTTATGAGCTGCTGGAGGCTGAATTTCCCTTCAGGGATGAATTAAGTTATTTCTATTCTATATATGGTAAAGTTAGTGATGCCAAAATACAAAATGTACTATCTTTATAAAAGAATGAAAAGGACGAATACTGACTGTTGGCAATACCATATATTTAAGCAATATCACACGAGAGGGAGTGATGTTGTACTGTGATATCGCCACGGCTGTGATTCGGTCGTAGGCACGAGGCCGCAGGCTTTTATACAACAGTTTAACAGTTAAATAAGCAAGGCTGATTAAGAAATGTTGAAAAATGAGGACAAAATAGATAATTTAAGCATTTTATTTGTCTTCCGCCAACAAAAATAGTTCCCTCAGGACTCCGCTGTCACCGTTGCTATGTAACGCAGACATGGTGCGCCGGGCACTTACTCTTTATACACATTTATCTGCACGTTTCCATTAATTGTGCAGCCGGTGAAATAAGTCTGTGGTGACTGCATGGTGGACTGTTGCTTCACAGGCACAGCCGACTCTGCCTTCTGATCTGACATTATGTTGCTTTTCTCCAAGTCATTGAGCTCCGCTGATGAAACACTGACAAACCTGGATGTGCGCTCAGATGGATTCAGCTTCTCCTCTCCCTCATCTTCCTCTGATGACCATTCATAGTTCAATTCAAAACTTATTTTAGGAAATAAATCCATATTTTTGGCTGTTTGACAGTGGATGAATTAATTAGCCTACAACGCAACTGCTGACCTAACTAACACTAACCGTCAGTTTTGATTTGATTGTTGATTGCAATCAGCTGTGAGGCGGAGTGATACATACACAGTGAAATAACCGTGATGTTGTACTCCAATATCATCACGGTTTTACTGTCTCTCGACCAATCAGATTGCAGGGCCGGAACTAACTGTTGTATAATTAAAGTTATTCCATTATATATTTGATTTGATATTTGATAATTTCTAAGATGTTTTTAAAGTGATGTAATGTTCTATACTAGTATTGGTAATATGTTGATATATGTTGGTAAACTAACATGTAACTAGCATTATATAACAGTACATGGTTTGTAATTTGGAAATTTTTTTTCTTCCTGATTTACATAAAGCGACATCTCAGCTATTGGGTAGAGGCCTATATTTAAAAATTCCTTTAAAAAAAACAAAACATGTTGTATTTTGTTATTGTTCGTAAAAAGAAATTTAAAAATGCAAAGAAAACATTTTACATGGCTTTTTTTTCTCAGTGTGGACATTAAAAGATTTAAAATTTTACAGTGTTCTTATTTTTTTAAAAAGCAAATAAAATTAATATTGTTACGTCAAAAATCATCATAACAATAATTTAATAATTAATTAATATCAAGTTTTCCTTTTAAAGAACTTCCTATTTTATCAACAATTAGTGTCAACTTATAGAACATTATATATTATGATTTAATACTTCACATATTTATCTGTCTTTTACCTACTTGTATATTCTTTACCTTCATTTATGCAGCTTTACTGTCCCTGTTCCTGGCTGTTATGTCTATTTCTGTGTACGTACATTGTGAGCATTGAAGAAAAAAACAGACTTAAATATTTCGAGTGTGTGTGTGTGTGTGTGTGCGCGCGCACATACTCAGCCCATTAAGGTGACTCTTCTCATTCAACTAACATATATAGTTATTTTTGGACGGCTACTAAGATATTATTATCAACACTCTTCTTTTTATATAGACAAATCCAAAGTTAAACTATTAGACAAAATGAAATATGAAGACAGACACCAGGCGTACAGAGCCAGATGTTAGTGATCAGTAAACATGACAAACTCAGACTATCCTCTCCTACTTCTGTTTTAAACCCCGTTTCTGGTGAGTTCTGTCTGCAGCTGCTCTCAGACACTCTCAAACACCTGGAGAGTCTCAGTCAGGTACAAAAAACACATCACACAAACCAGCCCAGACCTCTGAGTGCAGCAGTCCCCCGAGCACCAGGACAGGCAGGAAGAAGCAGGTCCCTCTCAGCATGCTGCTGTTTTCTGTCTCAACTTCAAATTAAAACTTCCTCAGTGAAACTTGGTGCCCATATGTCACAGCGGCAGCAGCAGCGGCTCTGTCTGTGGGCTGAGCTGTCACTCCTGTCCCCATGCCCGCCCGGAGCCCCGCCCACAAACAACTAGCTGTGACTATAAGCCCCGCCCCTCGCAGAGCCGGCGCCCTCCCATTTTTGTAGTCCTCTTCCGCGCCTGAGGCCGTTTAGAACGCTTGTTAGCTGTGGCGCCAAAAGACTACAACTCCCATGAGAGGGCAGGAGGCGGGCGCTCTGCAACAGCCAATCACGGTACACCACGCTCTACCTACTCAGGAAATGAAATAGTTTGCAGTTTACAGTCTTTCACCAGCTGGTCTCACCAGGGAAGAGTTTTTTTTTCATATTACACAGATTTATTAGAGAAAAACGTAAATTAAATTCTATTGCATCCTGGCGAAGTTATTTAATATACTTTCTGTCATTAGAAAAAGGTAAAATATTTCTTTAAATAAATAAATAAAAATTTTAAAAAGAGGTCCTATTTCTCTGGACCCGAATTTATCCTCAATCCGTTCATTTTTTGGAAGTGAACAGTTCGAGCAGCCTTCTCACTGCAATTCCCTCTTTTTTTTATTTCACCTTATTGACTTCCTGTTTGTATTCTATTAATCTTTATTGAGGTTTTTAATATGTGTGCGTTTCTCTGTGTCTTTCTGAGTTTGAGATGGGTGGGGGTGTTAAAGGAAGGTGTTAGTACACACATACTGTTTTAACAACAACAAAAATGTGACCCAAAAAAAGGGGCAGATTATTGATGTTTAAACGTGTTTCATTTGCACACATTTTCTATTTTACTGAGCTCCGACATGCTGAGAAATATTTATATGAGGACACGACGCAGTAAAATGTGAAATAATTTAGATGTGACGCCAACATGTGATGTAATTTAATTTTAAAACGAGATATGTGGCGAATAAATCTTGATTGAGACGTCGTTAGATAAAGTTTTGTCATTATCATTTGCAGGTTTGAGTGTAAGTGCTAACTTTTAATGTTAAAGTGTAAGAGGGTTAACAAAGACTGTAATAATGTGTAATAATGTGTAATAATACTTCTCACACACACACACACACACACACACACACACACACACACTGAGATGCTGCTGCTGTTGCTGCTAGCTAGCATCACACGGTGACGTCAAATTAAGATGACAGTAGAAAATGCTAGAAGATTTCCTGAATGGCTGCTGTTGCCGTGTCGTATTTACACATGTAAAGCTTCCACATATAATTATGAACCCGTAATGACCCGATACCGGCTGCGAGGCTCCAGCAGCACCATGTCGGTTTCACTTACATGGCAGAAGCAGCTCTGGTCCTGGCTGTCTGCGGCTCTGCTCGGATGCTCGCTGTGCTGCGTTTGGGGTTTGACGTTGTTTTGTTGAAACCAGCCCAAAACAAAGTTCCCGAAGAACCAGGCCGACAGCAGAACACCCAGCGCCTGTAAAGTTACTTTCCACATCACTCCCTGTGCTGGCGGTCCGCCGGTGGGGGGTAAAAACGAGCAGGAGGCGGCAGGACTTGAGGGAGCTCGGCTCGTCCTGCTGCTGTGTGGCGACTTCGGAGCGACGGTAGCTTCAGGCTAGCTGAAGTTAGCATCCGCAGGCTAACAGCGGCTGTACGAATCAGAGGAGCCCGGTGCCCGACGACCCTCTCCCGGATACTTAGACCGATAACTGCCCTCACAGAGCCGGGGTCACTGATTTAACATGAAACACAACTGGAGAAGTTTCTGTGAACCAGCTGCCCCCCCACCTCACTATCAAGTTTACAAAACAGAAAGCAGCTTCACTTCCGGTTACAATTTTCAGAATAAAATACCGGGAATCATTTCAGAATCATAGACTTAGTGAAAAGTATATAATTAAAGTTTATTTTATTAAGATAATCTCCTTGAGATGTAACATCTCGTTTTCGAGGGGGTCCCAATATATATCACAACTTATATCAACAACTAATTATCAAGACTTACAGACAGACAAACTAAACCAAGAAAAAAAACAACAAGGACAAACAAAAACAAAGAACAGAACTATACATCAATAAACTAATGCAACTTTACAGTTAAAGCACGAGAATGTGGGTGGATCACCAGTTTATATCGAGTATAAACATCAGCATACACAGTATATGCAGTATAAAGCAGTGACAGCATCAACGATAAATCCATCTCAAAGTAAGAAGACAAGATTAAACAAATTCAGTGATGAAATGGATCTTATTTCAGCAGGCAAATTATTCCAATCTGCAGGGGCTTTAAACATAAGCGCTCACTTGTTGTGTTATGAGTGAGTTTGCTTTCTTTTGTTATGTGTGTGTGTGTGTGTTTGTGTGAAATTATAAAAATGTAATGTGAAGTTTGAGTATATCGAAACAAAGCTAGAATATTTGGCATTAAAGTCTGAGTTGATGATGAAGTGATGCCATTTTATATAAATACATTTAAAAAAAATATTTTAAGCCTGTTTAAATTATACTCTTTCACTAATTACACAACAACACATGAACAAGTCCGTGGCAGGTTGGTACATAAGTCCAGCTGTGAGTCCTCAGCCTTGTTCATAAAAGACAGAAAATGTTGAGCTGTTAAGTGAATGAAAACATATTTTTGTGTGAATAAAACTGCAGTAAAATCCTGTGCAGAAGAAGAAACTGTTTGTGGAAGTGTTTTATTTTGAAACTTGAGCCTTGTCCTCAAAGTCACAGAGGATTTCACAGGTTTGGTGTGTTTCCCGCCTGTGGCCACCAGATGTCAGTGTGACAGCACACACCAGAGGGAGGAGAGTTTGTTAAAGACATGCACACACTTCTCAACTTTCTCATCTGAATGTGCAACTGACAGTGAGATTGTTGCAGAGCTGTAGACAGACCGTTGTCTTCAGCTGAGCCTATGATATATTCTTACATGTGGGACTGACGTCTTTGTGTGAAACCTGTTCTGGTGGCTGAAGAAAAAAGAAGATAAAGAAAGTTAAAAGTCTTCCTCATAATTAAACTCATCTTGTGCCAAATGTCTGAAACGATACTCGTGACTGAACCCAAAGGGGGAAACACATTGTCACAAACAGAGCTGCTGTAAGAGGCGGAGCAACACTGAAGGGAGGAGGAGGAGAGCTGAAACGTCACATTCCTGAAATGAAACTCAGTGTTGGTCAGTGTGACAGCAGAGCTGCAGCCCAGACGAGTCTGTTTGTTTCTGTCTGAAGAAACATTAAAGTGAGTTCATCAGGTGTTTCCTCAACAACTGACTCAAATACTGGTGAGTACAGCTGATCATATTTACTGTGTTTCAACAACCAGCATTAACACTAAACTTACAGCTCCAATCAAACAGGAAGTTACACTCTTTTCATTTCATAATGACACTCGTCAGATCGACATGTCAGTGAAGTGAGACATAACTATGGAATTCCAAACGTCGTTCCTCAGTATTGTAGTGATCATACTTTGATATTTTCATACAAATAATTAGAAGTTTAAAGATTACAGATTAAAGTTCCACTGATTGTCACACACCTGAGTGTGTGAAATTTGCTCACCGCATTTGACCCATCCCCTGAGGGAGCGGTGAGCAGTAGCGGAATCATGTGGTGATCTAACCCCCCAATTCCAACCCCTGATGCTGAGTGTCAAGCAGGAATGGATCCCATTTTTATAGTCTTTGGTATGACCCAGCCAGGGATCGATTTTTTGTATGTAACTTTAAGAAAATCTGTTATTAGTGACACCTGTGACGCCGTTACACCTGACAAATACACATGTAAAGTGTTTCTAGTAGCAGTTACAGCAGTCATTGGCAATGAAAATCTTGTTCTCAGGTTTTATAATGCTTTCACTTTTGCTTTCAGTGTGTAGATATGTCTGCTGCCAGCAATCTGCCATCTGAAGATCAGTTTCTGTGCTCCATCTGTCTGGATGTGTTCACTGATCCTGTCAGCACACCATGTGGACACAACTTCTGCAAAAACTGCATCACTAAACACTGGGATATTAGTGACAGGTGCCTGTGTCCTTTATGTAAAGAGACTTTTACCATAAGACCTGATTTGAGGGTCAACACTTTCATCTCTGAGATGGTCGCTCAGTTCAGACAGTCAGCTCAACAGAAAGCCAGCAGCAGCAGCTCACAGCAACAAGCTGCCAAACCAGGAGAAGTTCCCTGTGACGTCTGCACTGGAACCAAACTGAAGGCCCTGAAGTCCTGCCTGGTGTGTCTGGCCTCCTACTGTGAGACTCACCTGGAGCCTCATCTGACAATGTCAGGCCTGAAAAGACATCAGCTGATCGACCCTGTGGAGAACCTGGAAGACAGGATGTGTACGAAGCACGATAAACCTCTGGAGCTGTTCTGTAAGACCGACCAGACATGTGTCTGCATGCTCTGCACTGTTTTAGACCACAAGACACATGATGTTGTTCCTCTGAAAGAAGAATATGAAGAAAAGAAGGCTGAGCTGGGGAAGACAGAGGCTGAAATTCAGCAGATGATCCAGAAGAGACTACTGAAGATTCAGGAGATCAAACACTCAGTCGACCTCAGTGAGAAAGATGCAGACAGAGAGATAGCAGAAGGTGTTCAGGTCTTTACTTTTCTTATGGAGTCTGTTGAGAGAGGCCTGAATGAGCTCATTTATATGATTTAAGTTAAGCAGAGGAGGACACAGAAACAGGCTGAAGGCTTCATCAAAGAGCTGGAACAGGAAATCTCTGAGCTGAAGAAGAGAAGCACTGAGGTGAAGCAGCTCTCACACTCTGAAGACCACCTCCAACTTCTCCAAAGCTCCATGTTCCTGAAAGCTGCTCCATCCACCAAGGACTGGACAGAGGTCAGCATTCATCCACCACATGTGGGGACTGTGAGGAGAGCTGTATCTCAGCTGGAGGAGACAGTTAGTAAAGAGATGAAGAAGCTGCTTGCAGATTTCGAGCTGAAGAGGGTCCAGCAGTATGCAGTGGATGTGACTCTTGATCCTGATACAGCAAATCCCCATCTCATCCTGTCTGATGATGGGAAACAAGTAAGTCTTGGTGATGTAGAAAAGAATCTCCCAGACAACCCAGAGAGATTTTCTCTCTTTTTTTGTGTTTTAGGATAGCAGAGTTTCTCATCAGGCAGATCTTACTTTGAGGTTCAAGTTAAAGGAAAGACTAAATGGGATTTAGGAGTGGCCAGAGAGTCGATCGACAGAAAGGGAGTAATCACAATGAGACCTCAGGATGGTTACTGGACTATATGTTTGATAAACAGAAATGAGTATGAAGTTCTTGCCGACCCTCCAGTCCGTCTCTCTCTGAAGTCTCAGCCTCAGAAGGTGGGGGTGTTTGTGGATTATGAGGAGGGTCTGGTCTCCTTTTATGACGTAGATGCTGCAGCTCTTATCTACTCCTTTACTGGCTGCTCCTTCACTGAGAAACTCTTCCCATACTTCAGTCCCTGTAATAATGATGATGGTAAAAACTCTGCACCTCTGATCATCTCTCCTGTCAATCAAACTGGCTGATCTTTTTTATGATCAACAATTTATTGAACAATGAAGCATTGCCAAAAGTACAAAATCTTTGTGTAAATATAAACCAGACAATGTTTTCATACTGCAATAATGACACCGTCATAAATACTAGGATACTCAGTGTGTCATATAGCTTTATGGTTACAAAATGAGAGTTCAGTATGTTTCACCCTGTCACCGGTAGAGTAAGGCTTCTTAAAAACAAAATTTGTTTTCTGGTATCTTCAATAATGAAGTGATAAATAGGGATGTAACCATACATTGAATTCAGCAATACTGTGACAAAAAAGCCTCGATACTTTTGTTGGACTGTGACAAAATTTACCACATTACATTGTTATTATTTTGCTAGTATCGTTGCTTTCTTCTATCTCCCCTTGTCGTAAATTGTCAGGCTTTGAAATTAATGCTTGTCTGGGGCAAGTGTAGCCTGTAACTCTGTGTTCGGGCTAGTGCAGTTGTCTGATTAGAAAAGTGAACACACTCTGCACAATAGAGTAAACTTTTTGTTAGGGACTGTAAATGTCCCTCCCATAGATACCGAAACAGATGCCTCATTGGCTGTCCGATGGTACGCCTCTAGCGACGCCATATTAGAGAGCGTTACACTTGACTGTAAAAAAAATGAGACAGGGGAGCTGTGGTTTTCCGGATATAAAGCACTATACCTTTTATAATTCTGAACGGATTGTAGTCGGTCTTTTAAATATTTAAGAGTTTATGATCTACGTGCTGTGGAAAGAAACATTTTTGTCTCTGAATAAACAGAATCTCCACATTTAGGCTATAATGGCTGCAGGACGCTCAGTAGAGAAGTGTGTGTTGGACCTACAGGAACTGAAGAACTTACCTGGTGGAAAATAATTCATTGTCATAAGGAATTGTAAAACTTACGTCTGTCAAGCATGGATGTCTTATTTCCCCTGGTTTAATACTTGGAGACGTCCCTGTATAATATAATTTAATGTGGAAGTAATATTAAGACAGCTTTTTAATTAGCTAGCTAACATTGTCCCCTTATCATCAACTTCTTGATCATAACAAAGTTTGGTCATTTTTTCCACTGCTCATTTTAGAAAGTCTATCCCACTATACATTCGGACAGCGCTACAAAATGGCAAAGTCACAATTGTCCACTTTTGACTGGACGTCACAGTTACGTCATAGCGGTTGCGTGCGCATACTGGTGGCAGACAAACAGCGGACACCGATGAGAAACGGTTGAGATATGTGGAATACATATATCTTGTGCTGCT